TTATTCAAATGGGTGCTGTTAATAAATCCTACATGTAACCTTTATTTGTTGCATGGTTCTACTCTACTAACCATAGATTTTCACTTAACGTTTTTGAATGGATAGTGTTAAATGATTTACCGTTGGGCCATTAGTGTAATTTGAGTAAATGTTCACCTTGCTTCTGGGAAAATTACAACCATTCAATTAAGCAGTTGAGCCATTCAATAAAAAGAGCCATGCAAAATGTGTGCTTAAAAATTGTTTCAAGATTGCCTCTGTCGCACAGAGCGCCCTCCTCAAGCCATGCAACATTATAGAAATAAAGTTTGTAAATCGTAAAACATTTAAACCAAGCATTCAATTCTTAGTCTGAAGGAAAAATTTAATTTATGAAGAGGACCTGGGGTGAAGGGTAGGGGAGGGAACATGTTAAGAATTCGAAATTCCTTGAGAAGCCAACAAAAATTAATGCTCGCAGACTCTATTTACTGTGGTTTCATCATTAATCGTGGAACACCAATTTTCGTGGATTTCGTTGTTGAATCGATCCACGAAATCAAATATTCATCGAAGTTTGCATCGTCGCCACGGTCCGGAGTCTGCATATAGCTCCCTCCAGAATGGGAGAGGATTGTACATTTTGGCCGTGGTTTGCGACGATACGAAGTTTAGTGCCTCCATTTTGATTTATGATAAACCTTTAACAGTTTATATAAGTCTATTACGACTTTCGTCAATGCATGTGACACCCACCCCCTTTCCCCAACAGGTTTGGATTTATAAACGTATTTTATCAATTTTAAGAATATTTTTAAAAAAGGAGAAATACTATTACATAATTATCTCGCAACTTTTAGTACAAATGTTTAAATACAAGTATATGACAGGAGCAAAAATGAATAGGGAGAACCATACTGCAGTGCATGATTTGGAGACAAGCCAATCTTATTTACAATAAATAATCCTGCGCTCAACGTGTAAAACAAGAGAGCCATTCATATATATATATATATAAATATATATATATATATTTACATTTCCAATGTCTTTCTCTGAGATAAATCTACAAATAAGGTAATGGCTTTATAACCCCATAAATCGATTTGCTCAGCACGTGACAGAACTGAATGCTTTTTTGCTGCGTATTGCTTAGTAATACACCTGGTGGGGATGCTGAGATTTCTTATTATTGATTTTTTTAATTGAATCAAGGATCAGGTGAAAATGTAAATATGGAATAACTGTCTGTTTTTTTTTTTTTTTTTTTTTTTTTTTTTTTTTTTTTTTTTGTTTTATGATGATGATCAATCAATTTGCTCGCGTGATAATTTTACGCATAAACGCCTTCGTTTTGGGGGTCTTTTTTGGGGGGATGCTTTTTTTTTTATTAATCAAAGGTTTTGTTCCGAAAATGAAATTTTGAACGACCACATGGAGATGCTATCAATTACTATAATTACTTCATTTTTAAAATCATGTTATATATTTTGTCCCTCTTTACGGTTCATTCACCCTTATTTATTACATGAATAGGAAAGGGGGTATAGTGTTTTACTTTATAATGCCCCTAAAGCGGACAAAAGTTAAGATCTTCACTAGGAGTAAATAATATTTCAGCCTTCATACATATAAATTCACAGGCACCTGACGTTACTTATTTTTCTTTTAATAAAAAAATATATATACCCCCTACCTAATTTACTCCAACTGGAGGCGGCATTCTCGGGTTGATTTTCGATACTTGCGAACCGAATTAAATGCTGAATTCGCAAGCAATTTTAGTATAATGCCTTGAGTACTCACCAACATCGTTTTATGAGGTTGTTTATGAAATATACAGTCTGGTGAAAACATTTTATCAGACGGTCGAGTTTCCTTTTTACTTCGTGCATTTTAAAATTTTGCAAGACCTGTATCGAAATGTGGAGTGATATTTTGTTTTCATCGGTATTGATGAGTACTAGAAGCATTGTACTACTGATAAATTGTAAGTTCGGCATTTAATCTAGTTCACAAGTATCGAAAATCAGCTCCGGTTGGAGACGGTGAAATTTCCAGTTTTCGTAATGGCGCCGATTCTGACGTTTTCCTGGCACGTAAAATATCAAAATCGTGAAAAAAGCCCGGAAAACGTCAGATATTTCGGACTAGTGAGTTCAGTGTGCAAAGTACATCTAGTATTATTTGTCAGAATGTAAGCATTTTATATAAGGGGACAACCATTTGATTCTGAGTGTGGGGGTTGGGGTTGGAGGGGGTTTGGTAGATTTTGGAAATTTTTGAAAATGTTGAAAATATATAATCTGTCCTCTACTGGCAAGAAAATAAATAATCTGTCCTTGACTAGTGCTTTACTTGGTGCGTCGTTATAAATACACATATTAATTACAAATTATAAATAATACATAACATTGATATATAATTAAAATCGAATGCGGCGAGGAAAAATCCGACGGAAGAGATCAGGATTCGAACTCGGGCCCCCGGAACTCAGGTGCTCTACAAATTGAGCCATGTGGTAATCAGCGACCGAACCTGTCTGACCGCCATATTTTCCCCTCCTTAAAAGTATTTGCATCAGAAGACACCAAACCGGGTTCTTCCTGAAAGGTCTCTCAGTTGTCACTTCCACGGCATAGTCACGGCACCAAATGTAACCGGCGAGGAGGAAAATTCGACGAATCAGACCAAAATTCGAACCCGAACCCCCTGAATCACAAGTCAGATGCTCTTTTAATTGAGCAACATGTAGCTGTCTGTGCTCCATTCACCCTTTCCTCAAGGTCTTTGCCCCCAGAAGACCAGGCTCTTCCCTGCATGGCAGGTTTTTCATCTGTCATTCCTGGGCATGGCAGGCACCAAATATAACCAGCAAGGAGAAAAAATGCGATGGATCAAACCCACCCCTTGAATTACTAGCCATGTGCTCCAACTGAGCAATCCGATAACCCGGGTTCGAATCCTGCTCTTAATTTCCGTCGAATTTTTTTCTCATCTGTGAGTCGCCGTTTACATAATAATAATCCCCTTCCCCTTTCTAACTTAGTTACCCAAGTTTTAAAATAAAAGTCCAGAGAAAAACCTTGTGAAGACGTACGTTAAAAACTACAATTTACAGTATTTTCTAGGATTTTAGTTACAAGTCAAATGGCGCTAAATGTCAAGCCGGATGACGTCACAGGACTTTTCGAACAACAGGAAAACGATTTGGTTATGGCTATTAAAATAATTAATTTTTTATCTATAGAAATCATAAAAGAAAAGGTCTTAGAAGACCTGAGAGGTAAGAAAACATATTGTTTATAATTTTACTATTTTTAGCTGGTTTGTCACCGTGATGACGTCATGCTTGGTAACTGCTAGGTAGCGTTGCGTTTTGATTACTGTTGTTAGTTACTCACTTCGATCAGTGGTGAATAGACGTGTTTTTCACAGAGCGACAAAAATCTCAAATATCATAATGAAAAGAGAAAGATCTTCCGAGAGAAAGAGCAAGAGTGTGTCTAAAAGGGTAATCCTTCAGAAAATAAAATTTTATTGGTCTTTAATGCTTCTTTTTTATGATCTAGAGTTATTTACAATATTTTCAGAAATGTTATAGGAATGGCTGATTTATTAACTTCGACAAATTTATACACAAAAAATGTATTCCTCAATTCGTTTAACCAAATAATTTGGAGAAAACATGCAACCGATCTCTTACAATATTTGTACACAATACACCCACAAACCAAAAAAAATGTCCCGGGGGGGGGGGGGGATCATGTTGTTAGGGATAAGAAAGTTATTTTAGTACAAAGACCACTGGAACATAGTGGGATGAACAAACAAATCCTCAGTGGATGGGCTTGTGTGGGATAAACTAAAACTTCAAAACATCGATGTAAACAGACGGAAAGCAATATGTGCCAGAGAAAAAATCGGAGGAAATTCGGTTTACAAAATAAAAAGTTTCATTTAAAATTTCGATAATTTACGGCAATCTTTAATTCTACATTACATCTACTGAAAACTTTGTTAACTTACTTTTATAATGTATCTTGCTCACGATATTTGCCTGATAAATCGTTGCAATCATTTAAAAATAAAAAATATCTGTATCAGTTGACGTCGGTAATTATAAACAAAGGGGAAAGCACTCTTCAGTAACCGATACAAGGGGAGGGTACCCCAGCAATTTTCTTTTTGTTCTTCCTTGACTTTTTTTTAGATAATTGTTTTAAAAATCTAATATGTACCTTTTAATTTCACTGGTTTATTTGACTGACAGTTACCGTTTGAATTAAACAATTCTTTCTCCTCGGCTTGGTATGACCATTTGACAATATGCACCGTTTTATGAATCTTATTTTTGCTTAACTAAACAGCAACATTTCTTTTAATACGATTTAAAGTACTTATTTTTACGACTGCAACTCTTTACCATATATTCCATGCGCGGATCTAGAGGGGGGGGGGTCAGGACCCCCCCCCCCCCCCGGAATTTGCAGAGTTATAAAAAGTATATACTGAAGCATATAAAAAATGACTTTGGACCTCCCCCCACCCCACCCTAGAAAACGTGCGTGGACCCCAATATCACCACCAGGAATTAGGCGTTTTTCATGTTTGAAAAAATGGATTTTACCTTTTCAACAGAAATAAACACATGTCGGTAAAAAAAAAAAATCCCAAGAAATAGTATGGCGTTCAAATCGCAATATTTTGAATATGCCCCCCTCAATAATTACGTCTGATGACTGTTTTTCCATTGACAAGGAATTTTTGCTTGGTATATGCTCCTCTAAATTAAAAATGAATGCCCCCCCCCCTCCCGTAAAATACATAGTATTTTTCTTCAAAGTTGTAAACATTGTACATGCCATACGAGATAAAAGTTATGCAAAAATTCGATGTCTGTTAAATTAAAGCGTATTTATAGATAAATATCTAGTTATTTACCCAGCATTATAAAAGCATAACAAAAAAATTGACATGTGCAAAATTTTCAATCGGCAGCTCTTTATTTTTCGTTTTAGCGCCGTATAGACACCTCCTCAGATGACAGTCGTCAGTGGTACGAGGTGATGCTTGCCCTGGCTGCCAAATCAGCTGTAAGTCTTCTCTCTCTCTCTCTCTCTCTCTCTCTCTCTCTCTCTCTCTCTCTCTCTCTCTCTCCAGTGAATACTCTCTATAATCTCTATAATTTCTCTCCAGTGCAAACAAGTCTTTACTTCTGCTGCTCACGAATGGAGAGAGCACATTAAAGACTGGGTCAGAGTCTGAGTGCTGGCATTTTCATTTGTCAACTACAATCACCATGTGATTACATGTAAAATGTATATCAGTACAATGTAATACTAAAATGCTTTATATTTTTCTGTTGGTTGTATCAATTATCATTCAGCTTTATCAAAATATTTTTTGAGGAGCGTAGGGAGCTTCCTACCATACCTCAACCTACGCACAAGGTAAGTATCCAACTCATATTCGCAATGTCCTAACGTACATGTATAATATTTTTTTGGACGGTTGAGAGATTTTTTTAAACTGAAGTTTACAATATGATAATCTCTTACAGATGGAGTGGTTGGCAAGAGTCAATTTTGAGCACAGATCCATGCGCCGTAACATACCACAACAGAGACGTCAAAAAGTCTCCAAGAAACAAGACTTAGATTCCTCTTTTTATGTCTTCTAAGGAGGATTTGATATGGTAAGTTAAGGCCCCCTCTTGGCACTCAATACAATATGTATGAAAAAAAATTGTATTTGTATCGGTGTAATAAAACCTCGGAAAATAAAAAAAATATATTTCCGAAACAAATTTCTATATTCAAAAGTAAAATTTAGAGGTTTATGATAACTGGAAATTAGCTTTCGAAGCAGGGATCAGCTCATTTGATTGACGCAGGGCAAAACTCACAGCGATCTCTAGAGAATATTACGGATAACCGAAAATTAGCTTTCAAGACTGAGATTAGCTCACTTGACTAACGCACAGCAAAACGGGAATTAGTCCTTTAACAGCGATTTCTAGAAAATTATTCACAACTAACGATCTAATTTTATAGAGAGAAAATCAGATGGGGTATAATAAATATACTGAGTAGATATTGATGCAGTTGTCTTCTTTTTTTTTTTTTGTAGGATATGTCTGCATGGGCGCAAATTGTTCGCAAAGCCACCATCATCACAGTACAAATGTACTTTGAATTTGCACAATTTCGCCTTCTTTTGGGGCATGTGTATGAATGTGCTGTTTTATATAATTATACAACACAGTTGTTGCATTGTTTTGGCAAAATTATAACCATCTCAGTACCACTGTTGTCAGAATTAGTGTTCACACCGTTTCTGCACTGCATTTTATGATCCCTTATGTGTGATGTACATAGACAATGTTTTATATATATGTATATAGAATTCATTTGCTGCGTGCTTTAGCAGATGTATTTATTTATTTGGCAAAGTTTCATTTGCTTTTAAAAGGATGGATGGATGGATGTATTAGATAGATAGAGAGATATAGATAGATGGATGGATGGATGGATGGATGGATACTCATTCTAGTTTACTGACAAGGAATTAAACTCTGGATCGCTCAAATTATCTTACTCATACACTATGTGTATATATGTATATAGTAAATGCATGGTGTTTTTGATGTAGAAATAAAACATTCTTCAAAAAATTGAGTTTGTTTTTTATTACCTCCGTTGATATTACTAATTTGTTATAAATAATTACTAATTTGTTACAACTAATTACTAATTTGTTATAATAAGTTGATTATCTGTTATAACAAATTGATACCGTAATTTGTTATATCAAATTAATAATTTGTTAAAACAAATTAATAAAAGATACTGCTGCGGCCCTAACACGCTTCCGTAAAATAGAGCTTTCTACCAAGATGCAGTTGGAATATCCCACCTTGACGATATCATGAAAAATACATATTTATTGATTTCGCTTTTTTCTCTGTTAAAATATCAAAGTTGACTACATATCACTACCGGTACATTGACAACTGAATCACTCTAATGTAAAAAAAAAAATCAAACAGAAGATGACCACCATTAAGATTTCATTTAGGTGTGCAAGTCTAAATTTTTGAAATTTTCTTGCTTTTGATGTGTTATGTTTACATAATATTCTGATTAATTAATGATGCTTCAGTCAACTTACACTTCCAAAATCTTTGTAAAGAAATATTTATGAATATAAATAAAAGAAAATGCAAGTACAAATATTTCTAATTTCATAGGTCTTGTACAATAGAAAGAGAGATAATCCAAGTACAAATATCCTTAAAAATTGCTTCCCCCAAAATATTTTAATGAATTAGTGAATAAATATCTCTCCATATCTATTTCAGAAATAAGGTGGTCTATACATGTAGTTGGATGAATAATAAAACAAAAGAAAATGCTTTTCTATAATTTATAATAATCTACAATAAAGGTTAAAGACAAGACATTATCACAGATAAAGAGTTTTCAAAGACGAGCAAGATACAGAATACAATCTCAGACATTTCAAACAACATTTAAAGCATCTTAATGGTACTTGGTGTTTGTACAACTTACAAAACGATGAAAACATTCACTTCCTATCTTTATGTTATGTTTGCATAATCCATGATTAAAATTGCTGGAGATTTTTTTACTGTTATATGAAGATTCTAAATGTTTCCTTTGCAGAATATATACATATATTTATCAACATGAAAAAGGAATAAGTCTCAGACCTCAATCTTCCAAAATGAAAAATAAAATTGAGTGATGATGATATATTACCAGCATGAATCATATCATCCATAACTAGGGTGGGTAAGACATTGCCTCATCAACCTGGACAGGCATTCTCAATGAAATTATCTGGTTATCAAATTCTTTATGTAAACCTAAAGTGATAAAAGCGTATCACTCAGCATCTGTTTTATTGGTGTCCAGATTAACAAGGTACTACAGTAATGAAGCATTGTGTCTTCATATAGAAATCTTTCTCTAGTCAGAATATATATGCTGTGCTTTAAATTTTGATTAATTATGATTAGACAAGAAGTATAATACATATATACATGAAATAAAAATACCCTACATCACCATCAAATATATTCATAAACAAAATTATTCTCATACACGCCGAGCAATTTTTTTAAAGGACGGAATGTGTTTGCACATAAAAAAAAAATTGCCTGCATAATGATTCAACTAGAATTCAGAACCTAACTTGTTTATCAATATTATTACAAATGTACTAAAATTTCTGATATGTAAAATCTTGCTTCTCTATCATCTGTGCCTTCTGTCATCACAACATATGCACTGAGATTTCTCTCTGAACAACATCTCTGTATCAGCTATGCAAGGCATTCAAAAAATCATACACCGATTACTAGACAAGTGAATTCAGTATATTACAGTATATACATATAAAAAAAATATCATATTCTTTGCCTTGTGAACCAATAATTTCAAAATACAAATCACACATATATGTAATGTCAGGAAAATTGCACATTTTATGAAATGCTCAAGTTTGCATCATATTCAACAACTACTAAAAAACAGTTTCCACTTCACAACACAGTATAATTTTGCTTTAATACAAAATGGGTATTTCATCTAAGCAAAAAGTTGTTTAATGTATACTCTTCTTTTTACCTATAAAGAGGACCAAACCAGTAGGTGGTGGTACACACTCTTTAGTATTCTGTACACTCCTTATTTTACTTCAAAAACACTAATGTTTACATAGAATCATGAGTAACCTAAAAATCTTCAATCTTGCACTTGTTTCTACGATGTAAAAGTTTAATATAGAGTAAACTAATTGAAAAAAAATGTCTACTTCCTGTACAACTCTGTACAATAATTTTATCATGTACTCTGATGTATTTTTGGGGGGGGGGTGTATTTTACAGAAAACGATTTCCTTTCATGGATACCACAATTTCATGCCATACTAATGTGTTTACTACTCAACAATTTTTACAAATTCAAGTATTTTTCTTCACATGTAACTTTTATTCACTATTCACCCATGGTTCATCGAATGTGAAATTGAAAGTGTTTGGAAATATGACAAATGTGCTTTATGTTTTTCGGGGGATATTATGCAGTCCAGTAACTTTGTCATACTTTAAAAAATCTGCAGTTGTCACAATGGTAGCAATAATAAGTCATCCACTCTAATTCTTGACATTAAAAGCAAACAATGACAATAAGTATTTTGCTCAAGAAAAAAAAAATAATTTCACAACACCATCACGATATGATTCCCCCATATCAAATTATATTGCTCAGATCTACAATTTTTTTTGTAGAACGCTTATTACCAGTACCATTTACAATAAATATTAAATACATTAATGATTGAATTCATAGGAGCTTGCAGGGTGCTGTATTTCACAGATAAAATAATTAATGAACAACAATCAATTTACTGGAAGTCAAAAACTCCTTGTGTGAAGGTCTTAAATTTATCCATGATCATTAAAAGGAAAAAAAAAAGATTATAATTAAATAAAAATGTTCATTAATAAGTCCCTCTGTGATAGTGTCATGCTGATTACATCAAACAACCATTTTACTGTACACTCTAGCATAATATCAAACAACCTTCCTTTTCCCCTGCATACAATCATTCTTAGAGGTAATTTCCAAAATGATAATACTAGTAGACTTTCTGCTAAGTCTTATTGTGGGATACATTTATAAGATTCAAAGAAAATTCTCTCATCATTTAAACCTTGCTCATTCCTCTTCCAATATAAAACAGTTAGATGTGTACATCTCACCATTCAAATATTACTCAACATCATCAACTTTCTCATATCTGAAAATACAATAACACTACATATATTGAAAGGCTTATGTTTGGAAAATATATTTTTGTTGAAAATAATTTTGCAAATATATGTGGTATGGATACGAGGGTTGTTAGAAAAGTTCGTGGACACATTGATTTACGGAAAATCTATTGTGTACTGTGAAGTATGACCTATATATCTGATTAAATTCCTATATTTTGTTTATTAGTATGTAAAAAATCAGGTCCATACTAAAACTGAAAATTTACAACGATTTTTACTATGTGGTCATAGAATTCACGGAGCAATCACTTGAAGTTAAGTGACGTGACAATCAGATTTCAAACCCGTTAAGCTTTTTATTAGTTCTAAATATCTTTCATTTCTTTAGACTTTTCTTGTCTTTTTTCTACTTAAAAATTAAATATCTATATCAAGACATGTTACTTTTCTTCTATAATGTCTTTTGTGTTGTTTCGGATATTAGTGAGATCTTAAAATTTAAAAATAATTAAAATAAATGTCTACGCAGTTAAGCGATCAGACATGGAAACAATACAAAATCCATAGGCGCAACTTCCATGCGATAAGTGGGGTACTGAGGTATCGCAGGAGTTGATCGTTAAAAATGTTAATCCTTCCATTCTTATAAAGCTACTACCGTTTAAATACTTTTGTTCTTTGTACGTGTAGGCAATTTCCAGCAGCATCTTGGAGCATTTTAGTCTATTTTTAGACATTTTCTTGTCTGCACACATAATTTTTTAGTAGCTCGGTGCTCCATGACGTTCAATGACGTTCCCATTCTTGGCTTTGCTTTTACGGGTTGATTATTTATAGATGGCTATAAAACAGTCATACACCCTCCAATTTAATTCAAAATTTCGCCAAGTGACGTTTTATGAATACTGTAGCGCTAGGTAAAATATTATAATTCTTTTTGTGCTACAACTGTGCAATTTTCAATTTCATTAAAAAGTCTATGTAATGTAAACGTGCGAAAAAGTAGCATGCTCCATGAAGCATGTTTTATCAAAATAATATAGCTGTATATTTTTTAAGGATCACCGGAAAACACCAAATCTTTGTATATTTATTGGAAAATAGGTAAAGTTTTTATCTGGAGAGTTTAACCGGTTTCATAGAAATAGCGCGCTCACAATAGAACTTGTCCACGAACTTTTCTAACAACCCTCGTACATTAAATACAGTCAAACCTAAGTATTCAGGAAACCAATAATCCATACACTTTACCTTCTGGACAAAATTTGTGGGGAACAGAATTTACATTTATATAAACCAATTTTAAAAAATTCAATTCAGTAATCCAGCTTTCATTCTTCCGGACGATTTGCTAAGGGAATACAAGTATCTAAATTAACATGGATTATCTGTATTTATAAAATGAATGTGCTTCTTACTTTGCTAGTCTCCGTCTGAGGTCCTTCAGTTGGTCGTTTTTCTTCATTAGCATCTGCTTTAGATTTTTGAATGGGTTGGTTTGACTGACTTTCTTCTCAAGTTCCTACAAAATGAACCTCAATTTGAAAACTTTTCCTATACATTTAATCACCATATAATATTTATAATATTTTTATCCAACAAAAAGAAAAACACTGTAAAACAGTATTTAAATATTCAGTCACAATCCTTCAATGTGACACAGATTTTCACGCCTAAAATCTCCCTTACATATCCATACATTTACATTTATGATACATATGTTGTTCATTCTTATTCTCATGTTTTTCTAAACTTTATACCTTTTCAGCCATTTCCAACATTTCTCTAATTCGAAGCAACTCGTGCTTTGTTGACACTAAATCTTTTTCCATTGCGTTTGATGAACTGGCATTGCTTCTTTTTGTCTACAATAGATATGCACGTGTATTTAAATATTATCCAGTCAAACCTCGTTATCCTCGGACCAAGAAAAAAATGAGATATCCAAGGATTTGAGATATTGAGGGTAAAATAACTAAAGAATAAGTGGTTGGGACTTCCAAATCACTACAACATATCCATGGTATTCGAGATATCAGTGTTTGTAATACCAGAAGTTCAAATGTTTATATAATATTTTACTGGTTCTGTTTATAATTTTATGCCAGCCACAGGAATTAAATGAAGAACAGATATTTTGTTTTATTTAATAGAATTTATGTTCTAGGGGTTTACTGATACACTACATTTTACCCCGGGTATGTTACATGGCTTGATACACTGCTCACAATATGAATTAATATCTACCAGCACAATAAAAACAAGATGTGTTTGTGAAACACTGATGCCCCCGTATGGCAGCTTTTGGCGAAGGTTAAAGTTTGTCAAATGAAAGTCAAAATCCAGGCCAAAAGATATAAAATGTTAAATTTGAAAGCCCTAGCTGGAACTGTTCAAATATTATGGCGAAGGTTAAAGTTATTTAAAAGTAAGTAAAACATCAAGGTCAAGGTCAAAGTTGTTGGTATCCAAAGGAAGATCTTGTCACAAGGATTACATATGTAAAGTATGAAAGCCCTAGCACTAACCATTCAAAAGTTATGGCCAAGGTTAAAGTTTTTGGAAAGTAGGTCAAACTTCTAATTCAAGGTCAAAGGGTCAAAGTGGTTGGTATCCAAAGGAAGGTCTTGTCACAAGGATTACATATGTGAAGTATGAAAGCCCTAGCACCAACCATTCAAAAGTTATGGCCAAGGTTAAAGTTTTACAAAAGTAGGTCAAACTCCAAGGTCAAGGTCAGAGGGTCAAAGTGGTTGACATCCAGAGGAAGGTCTTGTTACAAGGAATACACATGTGAAGTTTGAAAGCCCAAGCACCAACTGTTCAAAAGTTATGGCCAAGGTTAAAGTTTTTCAAAAGTAGGTCAAACTCCAAGGTCAAAAGGTCAAAGTTGTTGGTATCCAAGGGAAGGCCTTGTTACAAAGAATACACGTGTGAAGTTTGAAACCCTAAGCACCAACTGTTCAGAAGTTATGGCCAAGGTTAAAGTCTCATAAATTTTTGCAAAAGTGGGTAAAACTCCAAGGTCAAGGTCAAAAGGTCAAATATGATGGTACCCAAAGAAAGGTCTTGTCACAAGGAATACACATAGCTCCAACCAATCAAAAGTTATGGGCAAGGTTAAAGTTGACAACAGACAGACAAACAGACAAACAGATAAACAGATAAACAGACAAACAGACAGACGGGACAAAAATAATATACCCCCGGGATCTTTCGATCCGGGGGCATAAAAATCAATAAAGTGAACCGTTAGGGTATATGATAAGCCTGTCAGGAATTGGTCAGTAAGCATATGTAAATAAATTAATTTTAGAAAACCTTTAGGGGAAAAAAGTTAAATATGATCTTTTTGAATTGGTATATTAGTATTAAATAGAATGCTTAATTTGCATTTTTTGTAGAAGCATAAATTTTCATGAGGATAAAAGGTTAAAGTTGACAACAGACAGACAAACAGACAAACAGATAAACAGACAAACAGACAGACAGACAGGACAAAAACAATATACCCCCGGGATCTTTCGAGCCGGGGGCATAAAAATCAATAAAGTGAACCGTTAGGGTATATGATAAGCCTGTCAGGAATTGGTCAGTTAGCATATGTAAATAAATTTTAGAAAACCTTTAGGGAAAAAAAGTTAAATATGATCTTTTTGAATTGGTATATTAGTATTAAATAGAATGCTTAATTTGCATTTTTTGTAGAAGCATAAATTTTCGTGAGGATAAAATTTTATTGTTTCCAAAGTAACCCTATTCATTATATAGCCATATAAAAATATCATGTGGGATTTAATTTTGTTGCTAATTGTTAACAACGAAATAAACGAAATTAAATCCCGCACAAATATTTCTGCTTTTACAGACTTCACAAAATGAAAATAAAATACCTCAGATATATATATATATAGAGAGAGAGAGAATTAATAAGAAAAACTTACACTATCAAGATCTGATTCAAGATTGGACAATTTCTTTCTTAGATCATCCACTTCCCCATCATTCTGAAATTGGTTAATGTTTAAAAATTAAATAATCAGTAAACAAGAGTGTCCTTTATGTTAATGCCAAAGGGCACTAGTTTGATAGGTTTTTTGCTCACCTGAGCCAAAGGCTCAAGTGAGCTTTTCTGATCAAAATTTGTCCATTGTCTGTGTCGTCGTTGTTGTTGGCGTTGTTGTAAACTTTCCACAATTTCTTCTTCTTCTCCAGAACTACTGGGCCAATTTCAATTAAACTTGGCACAGAGTATCCTTGGGTGAAGGGGATTCAAGTTTGTTCAAATAAAGGGCCTTGCCTTCTTCCAAGGGGAGATAATTATGAATTCGTGAAAAATAAATGGCATCATTTAAAAATTCTCTTCTCAAGAACCATTGTGCTTGAAAATATGAAACTTATTTGGAATAATTGTGAGGTAGTGTAGATTCAAATTTGTTCACTTCATGACCCCCGTGGGTAGCATGGGGCCACAATGGGTGATAAATGTTTTATATAGGAATACATAGGAAAAATCTTTAAAAATCTTCTTCTCAAGAACAGCAAAGCCAAGATTGGTCATATTTATATGCAAGCATCCTCAGGTAGTGTAGATTCAAGTTTGTTCATATCATTACCCCTGTTCATATCATGACCCCTTGGGGTAGGGTGGTCCAACAATGGGCGATCAAATTTTTACATAGGAACACATAGGAAGAAATCTTTAAAAATCTTCTCAAGAACAGCAAAGCCATGATTGGTCATATCTATAAGCAAGCATCCACAGGTAGTGTAGATTCAAGTTTGTTCAAATCATGACACCCGGGGGTAGGGTTGGTCATATTTATATGCAAGCATCCTCAGGTAGTGTAGATTCAAGTTTGTTCATATCATGACCCCTGTTCATTTCATGACCCCTTGGGGTAGGGTGGTCCAACAATGGATGATCAAATTTTTACATAGGAACACATAGGAAGAAATCTTTAAAAATCTTCTTCTCAAGAACAGCAAAGCCTTGATTGGTCAAATCTATAAGCAAGCATCCACAGGTAGTGTAGATTCAAGTTTGTTCAAATCATGACACCCGGGGGTAGGGTTGGGCCACAATGGGCGATCAATGTTTTACATAGGAATACATAGGAAAAATCTTTAAAAATCTTCTTCTCAAGAACAGCAAAGCCATGATTGATCATATCTATATGCAAGCATCCTCAGGTAGTGTAGATTCAAGTTTGTTCAAATCATGACCCCTGAGGGTAGGGTGGGGCCGTAATTGGGGGATCAACGTTTTACATAGGAATACATAGGAAAAATCAGCAACAGCCAATCTGTGTCAAAAGCATCCTCAGTAAGTGTAGATTCAAGTAAGTTCAAATCATACCCCCCCCCCCTCACTTTTATATTTAAACTTTTCAAGACTGAACTGATTTCTGCTTTTTCCTAGCTAGAGTGCTCAGGTGAGCGATGTGGTCCCTGGGCCTCTTGTTTTTTTTGTATTGCTCATTAGCTTAGACATTCATATAAATTTTGCTGACATGTTCTGATCTGCTATAATCATTTTCACCAAAAGAAGTGTACTAATTATCTAACCCTCACTCTTTCCGATCATACCTGATTTGATCTGCCTGCAACAGAGGAAGTTACAGCACTAGCTGCCACCTATAAAAGAACAAACCATGATTTTATTACATGTATAGATTATACATAATGTATATTCATACTAAACAGCTATCTTTATTATTGCTCATGTACTGTCTCACATGTGCAATTTAATAAATCAGGCGAAGGCAGTTATTCAGCTATTATGATCTAATAACTGTCATATCTATTTCATTACATGCAAAGTAAAAATTTCTATGAGCCTAAAAACATTAGTAAATGAACAAATGAGTTTGCTACATACTATACAATCTGGTAATAAAAATGTAAACATTAAGTTTTCTGTTTTGTAAATAACTCACTGACATAGATAGTAGTGACTTACCGTTCCTCCTAAAGCTTTGACTTGCTGCTCCATTTGTTTTGTTTTTTCTGATAGTTTAAGATTTTCTCTTTCTAATTCCTCAATTTTCTATTTTAAAAAAAGAAGATTTAAATTAAACTGCATATACTAGTAATACATTCAAGCCAGACAAAACAGTAGACATGGTCATCAGTTTTTAGATATTTTTCACTTTTTTTGTATCAAGTCCTCTCCCCCTACCCAATTTTTCACTTTTTTTGTATCTCCCCCTCCCCACCCCACCCCACCCCCCAAAAAAGAAAGAAAACATCAAATTAATTAATGTATACTTCATATCTTGTCAAGTCCAGTAACCTTCTCATAAACTGTTTCAATGATCATCTCTCTTTAAGAGAATTAGAAAACTTTATGAGATCGAAGTTTGAGCCATTGAGAGTCACATGTAGCCACAACCTACCATGTGTAGTAGAGCTGCTCCGCCAGATTCATTGATTGGAGCTAATTTCATTTTCTTTAATACACTGTTGAAATCTGTGTCTCTTGTTGTCCCAGCAAATTCCCTTTGTTCAAAGTCTGCTATAGTTTCTATTAATTCTCTACAAAAAAAATCCTTGGATTCACTATTCATTTTATATACGAATGAAAAGTAGTGAAATATTGTCATGTGTAATTAATTTGTTATATCCCCTCCTCTTCCCTGTTTTGGATGAAAATTCTTACCTATTTTCTAATTCTGAGATATCTGCCTGTAGTTTGAGGTGCCACTTTTCTGCCTGCTGAAACATCTGCCTCAGAAGTAGAACATTTGTATAAGCAGTGTTATCTAACTCTCCCTCCACTTCCCCCCGCACAACTGACAGCAGCCCATCCAACATGTCTGTCACCTCATCAATGGTGTAAGTCGTTTCATCCAATCTTTTTATTTTCAGAAAAAAAGAAAAGAAGTGCTCTTGTTAAAGTATTCTAGATATTTTTTTTTCAAAAATAAGCAAATTTTTTTTTATTAAAGGAAACCCATTCATACACCATTTCTAAGTATATGAAGATTCAAACAAGTCTTACTTCATTGTTTTTCTTTTTCAGCTAATTGTACAGAGCTAATGTCCATTATAAATAATATTTGTCAATAGAGAGAGAAGGATGCATACTGGAATATCCAATCATTTCAGAGTTTTTTTTGGATTCTGTATAGTAATTAGTGTATGGAACTAGCATCTTCGCAAGCCAAGGGTTTTTGATCCGCTTCACTCTCCACAAAGGTTTGTGGGAGCGATGCGGACCGAAAACCCTTGGCTTGCGAAGATGTGGAACAAAGGGATCTGGATGTCACCATTCTGCTGTTTATTACCATCATACAGTTCTGATGGTCATGAGTATATAAGTTGATTATTGTAGATTGCATAAATTTGATGATATCGGAGCCACTGTCAGGTCCCATCGAGGCTGGCACCATGATATTCACAATTCTAGTTTCCCTTTATTTATGAATGTAACATACTTAAATTATTTGAAATTAGTTCAGACACTTCTGAGAAGAAACTGAAAATAATTCAAAAGTTTATGAATGACACTTAAGCATGAGGACAGACATAATCAGCTGTAAGTTATCTGAATGATTCATTGACTCAGATGACCTAAAATGTGTACAGAAAGTCTATGTAATTTAGTTCTCAATGGATTTTTTTACCTGCTGTTCTTTAGTTCCTCAAAACACATCTCAACAGCTCTTAACCTCTGACCTCTTTGATAACGGGTAAACCTCATGTAATTAACTACTTGAGCTTGATGATGTTCATTCACCCCAAGATTAGCCTGAAATTAAATGATTGATAGAATTTTGAATTAAGATAAGTACATAATTTCATAACTCTGATCACTCCAATGTTTTTACTTGTGTCATAGGTTAACATCAGCTTAATCACTAAAATATCTGTAAATTTATATGATTTTATCACACAATATTTATCATTTCTCAATTTTTACATTGTACAATGAGTTATTTCTGCTTCACATCAATTAGAAACAATGCTTATCACTAAGTGACTTGTAGTTTATGATAGTACATTTTATGTATGTGATATGGCAAAAAAAAAAAAAAAACAACATATAAGTGCAATCTACACACTTGCATGAAATGAACAGTAAAAAGAATATCCAATATAAATTTAGCAGATAAATTATAAGGAAGGAAAAGGTGGGGCAAAAATTGTTTTTTTGTTTCTCATACAGTCCCTGAAACGTTCTACTTTCCCATTTTTCCGTTCGCTCACCGTTCGTTCACCGTTCGTTCAGCGTGCGTTCACCTTTCGTTCACCGTTCGCTCTCCGTTCACAGTTTTGCGTTCAGCGTTCACCATGCGCTCGCGTTCACCGTTCACAAAGCATTCAGCATTCGCTCTTCGTTCGTTCACTTTGCGTTCACCTTGCGTTCAGCGTTCACTTATCGTTCAGTCCTTATTGTCATTCGTAACTCCGAAGTGAAAGGACTTATCTTTTTTTAAGTAAGGATGTGCAGATTTTGAATTTAATAATTAACATATCGTGTTCAAAGAATCATTATTTCATGGGAAAAAATTATCTACAATATTTATTTTTATTATTTTAACTTAGCTGTTAGGTTATTTATTAAATTTATCTGGAAAATAAATGTTGTTATATGTACCTATGTAGAATGATGCTTAAAAATTAAAGTTAAATACGGGCAATATACAGATACTTCAAGCACTAGAACATTTTGTTGTTATGTTAAAGATGACAAATCGTTAATGGATAGATAATAATCGAAGTCATTTAATTTACCAACTGCAGCAAAGATACGAAAATATCTACTTCTAACACATTTTTTTTAAATGATACTAAAATACATGTGAGAACTAGTTCTGAGAATTATAAACAGTACTGCTGATATCCAGTTAATTAAATATATTTGGAGCGAATTAAATTGATAGTGTGGTTTAAAAAAATATTTGTTTAAAATGTAATACATTATAGAATTTTTTTTCTTCTTTACATATATAAAGTCTTTAATAAGAGAAAGATAATGCCTTTATAACATGATTTTATTAATATAACCAAGGTGATTCTCCAGTTATGATATTTTTCACCGCAACTTTATATGTTTGCCATTCGATATAATTAAGAGTCCCCCCCCCCCTTTCCCCTAAATCGGTTACTTAGTTAGTATTTCCAGTATATTTTAATTAACATTTAAAAAGAAGTTAATGTGTTTTGTAGCACAAAAATTTCAGTCTCAAACCAAACATGCATCTAAACAAATTCATTAAACAATAGTACACATGTAGTTCAAAATATACATGTGCAGGCAGTGATATATTAAATTGGCAGGGAGTATGTTTCAAATTCAAGCGGCTTAATCATTCGAAGTGTTTATTCAAAATGTATTTTATGTATTCATTTTTTATATAGAAATGTTGGAATCAGATCTAGAAATGATAAGAAAAAATGTTAAAACTTCTTGGAAGTACTAACAATTTGCCTTCGTTGTGACGAGACTTCCACACCTGTACAGAGTCGAATGATTTTGATTGACAGGTCAAGCACGTGGACTTCGTGTGAACTTGAAGCAGGAAAATAAAAACCGATTATGACTGTAAAACAAATAGATTTGTTGATAAAAAAAAAATTTCTTTCACTGCCTGATATATTTAGAAAACAAAATTAAGAATTTTTGTTTGATAAAGGTACAAACATTTGAGGAAGGGGGGGGGCTTATACCGAATCTCTCTCTCTGTCTCTATCTCTGTCTCTCTCTCTCTCTCTCATTTGTCTGTTTAATAAAAACTATGACAGCATATTACTTAAATATCAAGTTGTAAAAATTTATTATATAACAAATAATATAAAGGCCTCTTTGTATCATCTTGTCTGAGTATAATCTCGGCCGGGAAATGTCTACAGATACATGTAAAAGTCTGCTCAATAAATCATCATAAAAAATAAAACTGACATATATTATTGCATTAAAATTTTAAAATACGAGTGCATTTATGCAATACGTTCACATACCTTTGTAAAATATTTTTTTTTTCTTTAATCATTTTACACGGAATCGCCTTGGCACGGAAATATATATATGGTTGTTACAACCGTTGTAATTCATTCTATAAGTCCGTAGTTTTCTCTTCTAAAATCCACATTATTTGTAATGGTTTTATATATCAAATAAGAATAAACATATTTATTTTACAACTAGATTAATTTTTTCTTTTATACTACAGCGTTCGGTAACAATTACATGTACAATGTTTTACAGCGATGAAAGTCGTGTTATTAAAAATTGAATTTAAACATCGTACGTATGTGCAGAAAATATTGTAAGAAACTTAAATTATTAATTTTACTTAATGTGCATGTATCGCCTTTCATAAGACAAATTTCATTGATTTGTTTATTTATTTATTACTTATTTTTTTAGCACCAGGCATTAGAATACAATAGAATAGTTTCAATGCAAGGAAAAGATCAGAGGCATTCCGAATAAATCGTTCATCTTGCGTTCACCGTTCGTTCACCGTTCACTTTGCGCTCGCGTTTGCGCTCCGTTCGCGTTCTGCGTTCGCTCACCGTTCACCGTTTACACATCGTTCACCAAGTTGCGTTCAGCGTTCACACATCGTTCACTCACCGTTCGCTCTGCGTTCGTTCAGCGTTCGTTCACCGTTCGTTCAGCGTTCGCTCACCGTTCATGTGGGAAAGTAGAACGTTTTAGGGACTGTAATTGTTAACACAATATTAATTCACAACTTTACTATATTTTCACTAACAATCCATGGAATTAAAGTCATATCTCCGATGTTAAACAAATAATGTCATCTTACATCTTTGTTTATACTGATTGCATACAATCTTTATCTTCCAATGCAATGAGAGGATAATGTGCAGAAGGGCACTTGAGTTAGAAATGCAGATCATGTTATGTGTATTCTCTTGAACAAGTTTTCTGGTGCTTAGTTAAATGGTCATACTTAGATAGAACGTTCTATCATTAAAATGATATTGTCCTACGGACCCAGTTTAACGATAGAATTTGTTCCATGTACTGGCAATGTTGCAAAATAAACACGGGCGATAACTCGTACTCTGTGCATTTTCTACGAACAATACAGAGAGTTCCGAATGTTAACATGGCGTTAAATTTGAAGCGAGGAAAAAACGTTGAGAAAATTAGTTGAATTTTTGTATTTATATGGATTATTTTTTAGGTTAAAAGACATATACCATCTCAAAAAGGTTTGTTATGATTAATTTGGTAGTTATTTTCAGTGCAACTCCTTTTGTATTCTTCAAAATCATTTCGGAGTGGATCCACTCCGATTTGCTACATTGCAAGTATATGGGACATATTCTAATTGTGGTGAGGGCTTGTCCCGAGACACAGTTAGATTATTCTAACTAGGTCATACTGTCGAATGTGTTAAATTTAATGTCATAATAATTATTTCAAGTCTGTATCAATGATGCAACATCAATAATGATTAACAACAAATTCCACCACAATCCATTATTATGAAATCTACAACTGAGAAAATTCGAAATGCACTGACGGTGCCATAACTTAATCTATCGGCTATGAAACTATACTACATATGAATAATTGGAAATTAATACTATGTTTGAACAATATAATTACCATTTTGACGTTAAATGTGAAACTAGTAAATGCTAAACTTTGAAGAATTTGCAGAAGGCGTCACTGTTGACAAGATAATTCCAAATCGAGGTTTCCAATGAAGATAAGTCGTACGGAAAATCCATTAAGTATGCTGTACTTCGAATATTCAAATATCTGGATTTCAAAAGTGCGTTCGCACAGATAATGCTAACAAGAGACATTGCAAGCTTTTAATTAAGAAGCTCTCCGTTTTTCACGAATTTCACTCAATCCGAAAATAGAAGTTATATATTTTAAAAAAAAATCAATTCAAGACGAAACATGGGGGGGGGGGTCCTTTTCGATCTTGTAACTGTACATCAATTACTTTTTTGTGCGCAGTCTTCAAATAATTAATGAAATCTTTAATATTACATTATATTTGAGTTTATCATATTTTGTAAATTAGTTAGTTAGTTAATTAATTAGTTAACCATTTTTACACAAAATCCAATAGAGGGAGGAGTGTTCGAGTTTCTATCCAGCCAATAGAATACAGCAAATTTAAAACCATCGGTTTGATTTATACTGGAAAATATTAAACGCCTTTATTGAAAAAATACTAGCTACAAAAATATTATGCTGGTTATGGAGTTAATTTCAAAGACATGGTTTCGATCAAAAAACGAAAAATATCGATTAAAAACTGAAACCTTTATTTGAATGAATGGTTATTACTTATTTGAAGCATTCTGAGCTTTGTAGTTCTAAGAAATGAGAGCTCTGTTAATTTTTATATCACAGACATGGACATAACAGAATGATAAAATATGCCAACAATTTACTTGATTTTTCAATCTACCGTGGTTCATATTATACTTCCTTATTAACGTAATATTACATTTATGTTTATCAAATAATTTGATTTTTTTTGGTCTTGAAATGCTTTGTCGATATTCCGTTTTTATCCGCATAAAAGTATTTCGCGGGTCACTGCGAAAGCGAAAAAATGGCGGCGCAGGGTACGTGAAAGCATGGCAATATTTTGTTTTGACATTATTTTCCTTTCTTCTCATGTTTTTAATACACTGTGTATCATAATCTTGTTGATACCACATAGTTTAAAAGATATATTAGCAAATATTTTACAAGAACTCTCCACATAGCACGGAAACAGACACCATGTGGAACGACCTATATTGGTTGCCAGAATTTTGACCCAAGAGACGTTATGTGGAAGCTAATGTTTCAGTATTTAAGTGCCAAATATTGCACCAAAATTAAAAGAAAAAATATTACATGCATTAGAGGTTCTGTATCATTCACAGTTCACGATACATTCAGGATATTCTATATTTGTTATAGAAATTGATGGGATGTGTTGGGAAGAATGTATGTTTTAATTTTAATGGTGACCTGACACCGTAAACCTGTGCCATTATTTAAATTTTAACATATTTGAACATTTTTTTCTCAGAATTATTCTTAAAAGTTATTCATATGTCATTTGGCCTATGAAGGTCAAGGCAAAGATCTTGAAATCATCTCGTGTGATTTACCTACTTTTGAAATAAGAAGTTAGTAATCCCTTCTAAGAGCTGAACAAAAAGTCATATTTTATCAATTTTGAAATTGGGTATCTGTTTTACAGGTAAGAAGAAGATGAAAGGGAAGACTGTCAATCTGACAGAGTTTCTGTCCGATGACAAAGGAGGAAGCCCTGCCCCAACATTCTCCTCCAATAAGATTGATTGGGCAGCAGAAATGGATTCCAATGATTTGGAGGGTGGGTATTATCAGATGTTGATCATCAATCCATGTGTATATTTACAATTGCAGAAAATCAGATATTTTTCTGCAAGGATTAGTATATGAGGGTTGTCCCAAAAAGTCATAGATGGGGAAAATAATTTTGTTTTTCATTGCTGAATTAAATTTCTTTTCTTTTCAAAGTCAAAAGCAACATTTTATGATAATGAATTTCAAGTTTCATGATAATAACACATTTAATAAGAAAATAATGTAAAAATGAAGAAGGCATATAAATGTACTTCGGCACACAAAAGCAAACATAATGTAATTTATGTCTCATAACGTCATGATCATTTTTAAGTATACTACAGTCAAACTTGCCATAGCAGTCACCTTTATCCAGCGGTCACCTGTCCTATGCCGCCATTTTATTTCCTCCCAATGAATTTTCCTATATAATGTAACTCTATTAAGTAGTCACCTGTGTAACGCGGTCAGCGGTCGTCAAATTTCATGTAAAGTCGCCGTTTTACCTCGTATGTAGCGACCATTTTGTCCGATCACGTGACCAGATCTAAAGTCAGGTGACTCCCAATTTTTGTCAGTAATGTAAATAATTGGTCTTGTGTAGCGAGATCATGAAAAAAAATAATTGGCCTTATTAAAACCATTTAAAATATTGGGTAATTTGTTTGTTTATTTAACAAAACTAAAAAGGGTGCTAGTGACCGAAAAGGTTATCGGGAAAACGGATTTACGAGAATCTTAATCTTATTGAATTGGAATCTTTAAAAAAAAAATTCTGAATGAGGCCAAAAAAAATAATAGTCTTGTTTCCTGCTACCCGACCTACCCTATATTTTAGCCCCCGACCCTAAAGTTTTTTTTAAGTTTTGGAAGAAAAAAATCGGGAATTTCTGCAATTTCATTGTTCTGTCACCGTAATCGGTTTCCGTGTTAACACAAAACAAGCATTTCATGAAATTCTTGTTTTAAATATGGACTTTCATAAAATACCACTTGAGTTGTGCATAAAAAGAGATGAAATTTAATTTTAAAAGACAACGTTGACCTGTGACATGTTTAATTTGAACTTGTATTAGTTCATATCCAAAAAAATGCTGTCGGAAAAAAATTAAATAAAAATATAAAATAAAATAATTTTCCTACCTACCTACCCTATTTTTTTCAGGCCGGTAGCAGGAAACAAGACTATTATTTTTTTTGGCCTGATACACAAGGCATCCTTATATATTAATCTATTAATGGATACAATAATTAGGTGTTTCTTAATTATTAGCTCATGTTTGGCATGGCCAACGCCGATAGGTGTAATTGTGTAAATGCATGACAGACCGTTTTTAACACATAAGAAACGTATTATTTGTAGAAACCTTAATTAACTGTTTTGTATATACAATGTGTCCTGATTATCATGATTTTCAACTAGGTAAGACGACTGTTAGGATTAGTCACGCTTCATTGGTCACAACACCTGTGAATTTGATATCAATTTGTATTGTGCACTGCTTTGATAAACTGAAAATATTATCACTTGTCTGTTTATTACGCTACTATTTAAGTACAATTATCAGGACTAACTAAACTTGTTTTTTTAGAGGCAGTTTAGATAAAAAATACATTATATTTTATTCATGGCACAACATGATAATGTAATCTTATAATAAAAGAAAGTTTTGTTGTTGTTTGGAGGGAGGATAATGCAGTGCCCCATTAGACTCAATATATTTTTTGTTGGAGTCATCAAATTTATCTTGAACTTAATCTTGAGACTATTTAAATTAAAAAAAACACATCTTTCTTTTATATTCTATCATGTAGTGTTTCAAAACATCGAACTTACATAAACTGGAAAAGAATTTTTCTTGAAAAAAAATGAATCTCTTTTCAAAGGTCACCTCTCTATAAAGGTCACTTTTAATGGTTCCTGCAGGTGACTGCTTAATACAGGTTTGACTGTATTCCATGTGTTTAATATTTGTCTTTTAAGCTTCTCGTTATTTTTTCAAGTGAAAAACCACTGTTGACTGAGGGACTCAATAAAACCCACCAATGTCCATAGTTTTTTTTTTTATCAGATTCAAATTTCAGTCCTTGAAAGGTCGCCTTTCATCGTAAATGTAGGTAGCAGAGAATTCACAAAGTTTGACATAGATCGTGACCCATAACATTCCTCACTGTCTGAATTTTACAAACAGTACTCTACTTCTTATATGCGTAACTATTTTTTGTACGGAGGTAAAAACTGTCATAGAATCTCTTAAACCATTTAAAAAACCTTCTCTACTAGCCTTTTAGTGTGTTATGTCATTTTTGTATCATTTTTTCTATCTCTGAAGTGAACAAACCACATTTGAAGCAATTTTATTACATCTCCATGGGCCGCTAAAATGTTTGATGACATGATTTGCAGCAAACTCGATTCTACCAACATTTTGAAAATAACAACACCAATCCTATTGACATGAAAATTTGGCATAGTACTAAGATTTTGTTTCTGATTTCATAAATATAGATTTGAGTTATTCCGGATTTTGATCGTGCGCCAACAGACCATATGGGCCTTCCTATATATTGTCATAATATTATTACTATTAAAAGATATATATTTAAAAATGTACTATTTTAAAGAATATTGAATAAATTATGGCTATGCAAAATTTGGTTAGAATTGGTTGAATGTTTACAAAGTTATAAACATTGTGTACAACTTTTTGGGACAACTCTCGTAGATATTTTTTTTATCATGTTAATTACATGAGTGAATTTGATGATCCTTGTCAATTTTAAGAAGGAACGAGATCATTTTTAGTGCCTAAAACTTCAGCAATGATATTTCAAGAACATTATTTTGTAGACTTGGATATAGACATGCATAGATCAATGATTGACCGATCTAAGTTGCCAACCGCCCCCAAAGCAGCACGTGGTCCGGATATAGATCTCAGTCGAGTTCCCACTCAGCCCCCCTACACAGCCTTCATTGGAAACTTGCCCTATGAAACTGTTGAAGATCACATTGAAAATTTCTTCAAAAGTCTTAAGGTTAGCAAAGTCAGATATTTTAGGAAATTGTATGGTGTGGTAATACGCACTTATTAGTTACCATGCAATGTAACACAATTGCTGTGTAGTATTAAATTTTATTGAATTGATTTTAGGTGGTAAATGTGAGGTTGCCCACAGACCAGGGACGGCTGAGGGGCTTTGGATATGTGGAGTTTGAAGACAGGCAATCATTGATAGATGCTTTGGGAATGAATGACGAGGTAAAGATAGAGGGATAATTCATGTAAAAGCATAGGAGAAATCTTATTTTTTGGTTTATATTAGATTACGGAGATGTGTAATGTTGCCTTTGATTTTATTATATCATTAAAAAAAAGAATAAAAATTATACATCAGTATATAGAATGACCATGATAATGGTTATTTGAAACAGTTTAACAAATAATGTAGTTATTAGAAAATATCTGAGAGTATTGGGGGGGGGGAACAAATGCCAGAAACATTGTTAATTTCTTTGTAAAGTACTTGTAGTTAACATATTTTATTTTCTTTAATAAAGATGATGGGAGGAAGGAAAATGCGAGTTGACTTAGCTGGACAGTCTCAAAATGGTAAGCCTGGGTAAAATCTTAATAAAAAAAAAGACAATGAGCAAGAGTCAAATGATATGTTGAATAAAATTTATGCATTGTAAGTATCTCATTACAGAAAATCAGAAAAGCGGATTTGGAGACAGAAGAAACGAGGGTCCTGACAGAACCGATTCGGACTGGAGAAGAGGACCCCCAACAGATTCAGGTAAAGATGTCCTGATTTTTGTCTGATGTAAATAAGCAGCATTTCTTAGAACCTTTCTTAGTTAGTAAAGAATATATGTAAAATAATTTTGCCTGCAAACAGGTTCAGTTAGTGCTTATTTTACAATAGTGAAGAATTTTATGATAAGCAAACAAGACATTACTTTGCCTGGTATATGAGTAAGTAAACTTTTTCTGCATTTTAATTTTTTTTTCCTTTTCAGAATTTGACAGAAATGACAGGTACCAAGACAGAAGAGGCGGTGGTGATAGATGGGGAGGGGGAAGAGGGTTTGAAGATAGGGGCCCGTCAAGAGGATTTGATAGAGATGATAGGGGCCCACCAAGGGGATATGACAGAGATGACAGGGGCCCACCAAGGGGATATGACAGGGACGACAGAGGCCCACCAAGGGGATTTGACAGGGACGACAGAGGCCCGCGAGGTTATGATAGAGATAGGGGATATGACCGTGACAGAGGTTTTGACAGAGGTGGCCAGCGAGACGACTGGAATTCCCGAAGAGATTATGATGACAGGGGTCCCTCAAGGGGCTATGATCGTGATGGGGGTCGGGGATACAGAGACCGAGGATATGATCATGGAGGAGACCGTGGTGATAGGGGCTTTGACAGAAGGTCCAGGGATCGATATGATGACAGAGGTATTGATATGTACATTTGATTTTCGTCTTTTTAGATCTAGAATGTACTTTTAATTATGTATCTAAAATACAGTCAAACCTCATTATCTCGAACTCGATGGGAGAGAAAAAACTTAAAGATATCCTAGGATTCAAGATAGCAGGGGTAAAATACTTAAAGAATAAGTGGTTTGGACTTCTAAATCACTTCGACATATCCATGGTATTTGAGATATCAGTGTTCGAGATACCGAAGTTCAACTGTAGTAGGATATGTTTTGATATTAGGAGTTTTTATTTTCTTTTAGATAGGGGATTTGGATCTGGTTTTAGAAGAGATGACAGAAGAGATGATGGTTATGACAGACCTAGGTATGGTAGCTAAATCATGATATACTAAAATTACAAAACTCAGAATTTAGGTAAAGTTTCTGTTACAGCTTTGTATGAAAAAAAAAAAAAAAAAAAGACTAGTATTATTATTATTTGAAAAGAGCTGTCTCAGCATGGCATTAGATTTTGAAGAATAATGTCCAGATTCCAGATTGAAATACATTTTTAGTGCTGAAGTGTAATTTTGATCCATTGCAGGTATGACAGACAGAGAAGTCCAGAGGCTAGAGGTTTGTTAATGACAAATTCAGATTACACCAAATTTTTCATAATACATGTACAGTAAAACATGCTTATAGAAAAGTGCCAGTGGTGAACAATTTTGATTCGTTATAAAGGTAATTTGTTATATCTGTTTAGCTTTCAATATGCTTAAAAACTGCGGGGATAAGTATGAGTTCATCATGAGTGTGTTTGCTATAAACCTGTTTTATGGTATAATGCTCATTTATTGAGAATATTCACAAATATTGGTTTTGAGATGTAATCAAAGAAATTCTTTGATAGAGAATTTCACTATTCATAGAAATTTTAGATGCATTGCAAGAAAGTTACCTAAAATTTTGACAAGTGTACATTTAACAAGTAAAGTTAATAAAGTACATGTATATGCTGCCAAAGTCTATTGAATGGGCACCACCATTTTCATGGCATCATGTCTTTGGAAAAGGTGGAACAAATGTTAAAATACGTTGTTGGTTTACAATGAAAAAACATTTTCATTCTTACATAGAGATGCCTGCTGAGAGACCAAGGTTAAACCTACAGCCCAGAACCAAACCAGTAGAAAATGAAAGTAAAAAGAATGAAGAGGGTGCACCAGAAAAGAAGGCCTCCATCTTTGGAGCAGCCAGACCTGTAGATACAACAGCTAGGGAGAGAGAGATTGAGGAGCGACTGGCCAGACAGAAACTCGAGGACTCACGGAGGACCGAGGAGGAAAAAGAAAATAGAAACATGTAAGAGGCCTATCAGGAATGTTATTTCAGTGTAACATGTAATATTTACAAGGGTTTTTTTTACCATAGAAATACAGATGTATTTTTTAAAAAGATTAGAATATGTCTGATCTGTGTTAAAGCATTTTTACAATGGTTTTAGAGAAACACTGACTCTCATAGAGAAGAGATATGTCCTTGGTTGATTCTTACTACAGAACTTGATTATGCATCAACAGAAGTTTGCATTGAATTACACACACAAAACTTTGTATCTGATATTGTATGCTAAATAATTCAAGTAGTATAAAACTTTTATAAGCAATCAGTTTCTAATTACTTTCTGCTTCAACTTTATAAATTTATTGTTAAATCCAATATTGTAGAGACATGCAATACATATCTTGTCGTGAAATGTTTAATTTTCATTGCTTTTGCAATGTACATGTATCAAGAAAGCAAAATGTACTATTTCTCAAGTAATTTTCCTAGATAATATTTCAAAATAATCCTATTTACAAATGCAGATATTTTGTCTGTTGACAAATATAACAAAATCGTGTGCCTATCAGATTTTTGAAGTGGAATTAAAGTTTACAGACATTTATGAACTGTGTTAATTTTTCTTTGTAGAGATAGGGATAATAGGCCACGCAGGGATAGCGAGAATTCTCAAGATGGAAATAGACGTAACTCACATGAGGGCAGCAGACGAGAGCGAAGACTCAGCAGCAACAGCTCAAACAAAGGAGGACGTTCAGGCAAGTGCTGTAATTTGATGCTCAGGCGAGTATTGTAATTCTGTACACAAGTGAGTATTGTAATTTGATGCTCAGGAAAGTTATGTAATTTGACACTCAAGCGAGTATTGTTATATACCTAATAGAGGTGAAACGGTTCACTGCAGTATCAATTCACCATGGTATTTTTTCTCAGTTTGATACACAGTGCAAAAAATAAATATTCGGTTTGGTTCATTTTTTGGTTGAGATTGTAATTCATTCAGTATTGGCATATCTTAAATACGCTAATCAGCAAAATTAAATTTTTGAAACGTAAATTTCTTTTAGGATTGATAGTTCCTAAAATAACCTTTAACAGTCAATTAATTCTAATCAATTTCTCCAAGTCAATTTGCACGTAGATTAAGTGACTGAATTTAGTGAAACAAAGCATAAAAAATGTTGAATTTGTTTCCTTCTATCAAAATGTATCAAAAATAACAATACTGAGACAAAATTATATGTCACGTATTGTATTGTGAAGGAGGCGTATTGTTTCACCCCTAGTATATGTACCTGAGTAGAAGGTTCAATAGCTTTTCAGGTTTATGAAAGTTAATATACTTTAATTAAGAGTTATTTAAAATCATATTTGAAGACAGAGATATGAAAGAACATCCAGCAGTAAGTGCTCACGTGTAAGATCTTGGCGTGTTAACCTTATAAAGTTAATGGAATTGTTAGTTATTATGGTTAAAAATACAACCTAAAAAAAATAATTGATAGTTAAATGTTTTTTAAATAGCAAAATTAAGAAAGATGAGCGATAAAATAGTTCATTACCAGGCAATAGTTCAAGATATTTTTAAAGTAGAAATTCTTGTACAGGTCCTTCACATGGGCGGCCCAGAAAAGACAGTGAAAAATCCAACCACTCGCAAGAGGTGTTCTCTGGTGGGGAGGATGGTAGGGAGGAACCCAAGAGTCCACTGTCTCCCGTACACAGAGAGGATCCGGTGAAACTCATGCCAGCCCCTCCCCCCACAGTTAATGCCTGGACGAAACGAAAAAGTGAATCAGCCCAGAAACAAGGCCCGCCTTCTGACGATGTGAAGTCTCCGCCTAAGTCCTCACCACAGAGCAATTCCCAAGTCCCTGCCAAGAGTGAATCTAAGTCAAATCCTACACCAGCAGTATGTACTCGGATTTCAATTTTAATTTTTAAGTTAACATGAAGACTGATATTTGATAAGTTTTTGTTCTCTCTCTCTCTCTCTCTTCAAATCTGTTATTTTATACATAAGAATTGTGACACAATACATGTTAATATTAGATTGGGAAAGAGTGTAAATTTATTTTTATCTGTTTGTCTGTTCAAAATTAAATTTGGCCATAATATGAAGAAAATGTAAATGAAGACATCATACATGTAATTCATCAAAATGATTAATGTCAATTTGTATATGGCTTCACATTTGAATATTTAAGGTTTTATTGAAAAAGAAAAAGTTTTATGCTAAGTTGATAATGTTGACAGTAGAAATGAAAACTGAGTTTAGTATTACTAGTTGGTCTCTTTTCACTCAATTCCATAGACACTTTTTTTATTTTGAACTCCTTCAAGTTATGACCTTTTTTACCTGACTGGCACGTAACTAATACTCCATTTTGATGGACTATTCAATGTGAAATTATTGGTTTTTTTTAGATCATTTATTTGTATTCTTAACTGGTATTATATACAATTATGGATAGGGAACGAGCTTGCGAGGTCGCTATCATTTTCTGTGTCAGGTCAATATCACTTGACATGTCCTTATAAGCGCATATTGACCGTTCACCGAAGTCCATAATAGTTATATTATATAATCACTCAAAGTTAATAAGCTGAAACAGTCATAACTGAACAGACTTGGCTGTCATTACATCACAGTGGCAAAAACATGCTTCTTATGTTATGACGTCATGTTCTACGATTATGGTGCAGCCATGCAATATCATATTCTGCGGACACACTTTCACATTAATATAACAAAAGGATGAATATCATGTGACATCCTTTCAGCCAATGAAAATTATAAAAAAAAAATCTTATATAATGTCATGTTTTATCGCATGGATCCCACTGCTTACCATTATAATGTCCTGTTTTGTGTGATGTTAAAGATCAATTTTAATAGCAATTTCCAGTATCAATTTTGCAGTTTTTGAAACATAATCCATTTTTTAATCATGCAATGCAAATGTGAAATTTAATGTATCCACAGAAAAGCATTGTATTTGCTACAAAATTGGATAAAGTTAAATTGACAACTCATGTTAAAGATAGGAAAAGAAGTTCTCTGATTTTCATAGTAATTACATAGGAGTATATCAGAATTTATTAATTTAATATTTTAGGAACCTCCAGTAACAAATGCTTGGAGCAGAGGCAAACCAGCAGACTTAAAGTCTTCTGAATCCTCCAAGAATAGCACGCCTCTTAAACGACCAGGTGAGGTGTTAGTTTTATTACTCAATGCAAGATGCTGAGACCAAATCCTCCAAAAATAGCATGCCAGCTAAAGGCCAACCAGATGAGGTGTTATCAATGTTAGTACTCAACACAGGGTACTGAGAGGCTGACCAGATTAGGCAAAATCAGTGTATTTAGTACTTAACACAAGATGCTGTGTGAGACATTGAGATTGAACACATGAAACAAAGGGCTCACTCTTGTCAAATGTATCTGGTATACTTCGCAATTTTTTGTAATTTATTTTGCTTTTCTGATCACATTTTGTCTGGCATCCATCTGTCTGTCCATCTGTCTAGCTGTCTGTCTGGTTGTCCATCTGTAAATTTTTCACATTTTCGACTTCTTCCCAAGAACCACTGGGCCAATTTCAACCAAACTTGCCACGCAGCATCCATGAGTGAAGGGGATTCAAGTTTGTTCAAATGAAGGGCCACACTCTCTTTCAAGGGGAGATAATCAATAATTAGTGAAAATTTGGTGTCATTTTTATGCCCCGCCATGAATATGGCCGGGGCATATAGTGTTTATCATGTCCGTCTTCCGTCCTTCTGTCCTTCCGTCTGTCCTTCCGTCACACTTTGCGTTTAGCTCTGTTCAAAGCTCAGTTTCAAAGAAACTATCCAAGATATTTTTATCAAACTTCATATGCTGATAGATATTGATGAGAGCTATGCAACTGCATCAACATTTTTTGACCTTGACCTTTCCTTTGACCTTGACCTCACTTTTCTTAAATTAGTGTTTAGCTCAGTTTTAAAGATACCATTCAAGATAGTGTTATCAAACTTCATATGCTGATACATACTGATGAGATCTATTCAACTGCATCAACATTTTTTTGACCTTGACCTTTCTTTTGAGCTTGACCTCACTTTTCTTAAATTAGTGTTTAGCTCAGTTTTAAAGATACCATTCAAGATAGTGTAATCAAACTTCATATGCTGATACATACTGATGAGAGCTACTGAACTGCATCAACATTTTTTGACCTTGACCTTTCCTTTGACCTTGACCTCACTTTTCTTAAATTAGTGTCAAACTTTATATGCTGATACATACCGATGAGAGCTATTCAACTGCATCAATATTTTTTGACTTTGACCTTTCCTTTGACCTTGACCTCACTTTTCTTTAATTAGTGTTTAGCTTAGTTTTAAAACCATTCATAATATTTTTATCAAACTTCATATGCTAATACATACCGATGTAAATTTTCAACTGCATAAACAATTTTTTTTTGACCTTGACCTTTCATTTGACCTTGACCTCACTTTTCTTAAATTTGTGTCAAACTTCATATGCTGTTACATACTAATGTAAGCTATTCAACTGCATCAATATTTTTTCACCTTGACCTTTCCTTTTACCTTGACCTCACTTTTCTCAATTTGTGTTAAAATGTTGCATTACTAATATACCCTCGGCAGGGCATTCATGTCCTATGGACATATTTCTAGTTTAAAAATCTTTTTCTCAAGAACCATTGGGCCAGAAAAGTTGAAACTTATGTGAAACTTTTATAACATTGTGTAGATTCAAATTTGTTCAAATCATATGAATATGGAAGCATCTTCAGATGGTTTACATTCAAGTTTGTTCAAATTATGACACCTAGGGGATGGGTTGGGCTGGAACATGCGATCAAAGTTTTACATATGAATATTTAGGAGTAAAAATCTGCTGAGGAAGAATGACAAGTTCATATTGACTCAGATGGGTGTTGTGGCCCGTTAGCCTCTTGTTCATTTTATTGAAACAGGAGTTTATAGTATGAGACACATATATTTTATAGTTTTCCAAATCAATAAACTAATACCATATTTTTGCTAGGTGGCTAGATTGCAAATGGAAAAGTTGATTTTTTTAAAAGGGTAGAATTAGACAATTTCAGCATTATTGTCTTTTGTAGAGGAGAGAGGCAGTTTCCCAGGTGAAGGAAGAGGTGGATCCAGTAGGGGTGGGAGAGGACGAGGGACACCGACCCGTGGACGAGGAGGGAAACAGAGGTAAAGTGTGAACTTCAATTTATATCAGAGACAATGTGTATAAGTGTGAACTTCCGTTCATATCAGAGACAATGTACATAAACATGAATGGGCAGAATCAGAAGTATTCTAGATAAAGCTCAAAGACCCTCTATACACTAAAGCAAAATGATTTTCAGTCAATAAAAAAAATCATATTTTATAAAGTGTGAATATTGAGATTATCTGTTTCTTTTTCAATATAAGATGCCTGATATTTACCCCCCTGGAAAAATTATAAAACAGCAAAGTATCAATGAACAGAAATCACTGTTGTTCCCTAGAGTTAGGAAAATACATGCAAATAAAGTGTTCAATTAATTTATCTTGGCCTTAAAATATTAAGAATCCTGAAATTGATAACAAATTGAGTAATATACATGAAATGTTCATTTATTTTACTTTATATGCAAGGGCAGATCACTCTAATAGCAAAAAATACCACAGAATCGGAAATGTATAGAGGGTTCTTAGCTGTTAAACTTGAAATCTATTGATAAAGCTTTATTGTTAAAGTTGAAATATTTTGTACCTTTAGAGCTCCAAGAGAAAAGACTATCCCCCAGTCTATAGATGAAATGCCTAAATTTGAAGAAAAGAAAGAACAGGTAATTTACATGGTTATGACAAAGATGCACCTGTTAAATATTTTGTTAAGTTCTGTTATCTATAGTTAAAACAGATTTAGTGCATTTTACCTTTATCATTTTAACTTTTGAACACCTTTCTACTTCATTTTATGTAAAATATCTTTTTTGTGAAATATAATCAACATTTAATTCCTTCAGGTGTGGACGGGTGCCAACAAGTTTGCTGGCCTTGTTGATGATGAAGAAGACAATATGGAATAGGAAATGGGCATAAATTTGTTATATCTTTCATTGACCTTTTTAAAAATGGAAATTGGCTTTTTTATTGATTTTAATTGTTTTGTAATGACTGACATTACAAACTGAACTTGGCAATTAATTTATGACAGGAAAAAAAAAAGATATAAAACACACAAAGTTATTTAATTTAAAGAATAAATTATACTAGTCCTGAACTAGTTTAATGTCTGGTTATATATATATACTGCATTTAATTGTTACAGAAATAAATGGAAATGCTATTGTACAAATGCACTGTTAATTTTTCAGCATGGATTCTTAATCTTTGACAATCTTAATATGTGTTTCGAATTTATGTTTGAAGAGTAAATATTAGGTGTATGATCATGCTTGAGTACCTTTGTTTGTCTAAAGGATATATTCATATTTTAAGTAAGAAATTAATTTAATATTTTGGCTTGATTTTGATTAAGAATGTTACCAAGTTTATAGAAGTAACCAATTTATAATTTTGTTAACTTGCTAATGTTCTTGAGCTGCAATGATGTGATTAAGGAATATTATGAAGAATATGGAAAATTAAATTTGTGTATATTTTTTTATATTATTGTTAAGACTTCCCTTTTTCCAGTTCACTGCATGTAATGTGTAAAAATAAATAAAATATTAGCAGGTGCTTTGATTCAAGGTCTGTTCATTAACATTTACATATCAATCTTGTGGCAGTACCATTGGAAGGTGTTAGACAAGTTAAGGGTAGTTATACAAACATTATATAAGCAATATGGATAGTGATAATTTTGTTATAGATCATTACTTGTACACCAAAAAACTGTGTCAGTTGTGAAAAAAGGTATGTTTTAAATATTCTTTTTTGTTCACAAACTGATTACAGTTGCAAAAAAAATCTGTATCAAATAAGAAATGTTTCAAACATTCTTTTGTGTTTACACTCAAGATTTAGCACACACAAACTGTATTAAACATAAAATAAGATTTCTGTAACTATTTTATTTCCATTATATTCGCAGTGTTTTTGTAGCCTAACTTCTGAGAGCTCCAGAATCCACATCAATAGAAATTTTCATCAGCATTTTCAAAATGTTAGTATAATATTTTTGATCTCCAAGAAAATTGTTACACATATACATGTGTATATACATGTCTGCATATATTGTATTTTGAAGGATTCTTTCATTATTAATGTTACTTTTAAAATTTTACCTTTTTTGCATCCTTTTCAGGACGTTTAATGTTTTGATCATTTTGCTTGTGTGCTAAAGTTTACGGAGACCTGGTGGACACATTATATGATGTGTATTCCACTTGTCCACAATTGTAAATATTCCATGCTTCTCTGTATCAAAGGGTATTATATGTGAATGTATGAATGAATGAGTAATAAATAAAGAAAACAATAAAGTTTGGTTGTGTATTAAAATAAGGGTTTAGTAACTGACCAACAGGTTGATATGATCTTTTTAAGTCACCTTGATCACTCGCAATTTTCTGTATAAAATTTTACCTTCTAAAAACGATTGAAAACTAGAGGTATTGTGAGCACTGAGCTCACAAAATGATAACGCCCCCTCCCCCCCCCCCCCCAGCCTTCCATATGTTTATAATGGCAAAGTCCATGTTTTTCTATGAGAGACCCGAAATATGTGTCTGATCAAAAAGTAAAATGGGAACTGCACAACAAAGATTCTTTGAAAGTATCATTAAGCTTTATTCAGTGGTATAAGAGGAGTTGCGGATAAGAGATGTATACCCCTGAATATTATAGAAAGAATGGCAGTGTCTGTGTTTTGCTATTGGAAACCCGAAATATGTGTCCGATCAAAAAGTGATATAGGAGGTACACAATAGCACTATGTAACAAAGATTCTGTGAAAGTATGAAATTTTAGTCAGTGGTATAAGAGGATTTGTGAATAAGAAATGTGTATCCCAAAGGACGGACTCTCCCATCACTATACACCTATACATGATACTGCTTTCAAAATTAGATGAAGTCCATACTTTTTATACACCCATCTTTTGACTGGCAGTATTATGGGATTTTCTATCCGCCCGTATGGTTACCCATCTGCTTGCATTTTCCTACCTGGGTCAAATCTTCACACATTGAGCCTAGTACCTTCAAACCTTGTCAGTTGCTGCATCTTGGAGGGGAGGTGTGTTGCAGTCCAAATGTAGGCTACTATGGCCCCATTTTGAAATTCTTTGGATATACATAGACCCTATACATGAGACAAATTGCGTCCAGATCATTCCTTGCATTCTGTATGGCTAAGGACTCAGTGTTGCAACCCATAAGTAGGTCGGCAAGGCATCATTTTGGAATTCTAAGACTATAATAATAAAATCATGTTCCTGCCATATTCTGCACACTGTGAGGTTTAGGATCATCACATCTTTCAAAAGCTTTGATTAAAAATTTAAATTCCATGCTAAATACAACATATTGAAACTACATGTGTAATAAAAACAGTACTTAGGCCTGCTGATATGACATGGGGTTGTTTTGAATGTATCTCAATGAGCAGGAAGCATAAAAAACAAGATGTGTTTGTGACACACTGATACCCCTGTATGGCAGCCCAGGGCCAAGTGTAAAGTTTTTCAAATATAGGTCCAAGGTCAAGAGTTCAGAAATTGGTACCCAAAGAAAGATCTTGTCACAACGAATACACATGTGAAATATGAAAGCCCTAGCACCAACCATTCAGAAAACATGGATCAAGGTTAAAGTTTTTCAAAAGTAGGTCATACTCCAAGGTCATGATGTCAAAAATATTGGTACCAAAGGAAAGGTCTTATCACAAGGAATATATAACTGAAATATGAAGGCTGTAGCACCAACCGTTCAAAAGTTTTAGGCAAGGTTAAAGTTTTTACAAATGTAAGACAAACCCAAGTCAAGGTCAGGAGGTCAAAAATTGTTGGTACCCAAAGAAAGGTCTTGTCACAAGAAATATACTTGGGATATTTAAAAGCACCAGCACTAACTATTCCAAAGTTATGAATAAGGTTAACTGTTTTCAAAAGTAGGTCAAACTCCAAGGTCAAGTCAAAATGTCACAAATTTTGTTACACAAGGAAAGATCTTGTCACATGGAATACACATGTCAGACATGAAAGCCCTGGTACCAATAATTCGAAAGATATGGCCAATGTTAAAGTTTGGTAACATTTTGCAAAAGTCGGTCAAACTCCAAGGTGAAGAGGTCAAATATGTTGGTACCCAAAGAAAGATCTTGACAAGGAATACACGTGAAATATGGGGGCATAAAATGTCAAAAAAGTTACTCATTTCCACCGAGCTTTTTTGATTAATTGAGGCAAAATTATGCACATATTCCCCTCCCACAATATGCATGCGAAATGGCAAACGAAGCAACCAAAGAATTTGTTTGTTTTTATGAACTGCATTGTATGTTTTACAACATACAAGGTTTATACTAGGTTTATATTTTTATGCCCCCGTAATCAAAGATTTCGGGGCGTATAGTTTTTTGCTCTGTCCGTCCGTAGCTGTCCGTTTGTCTGTTAATCTGTTTGTCTGTTAATCTGTCCGCAAAAAACTTTAACTTTGTCCATATCTTTTGGTTGGTTAGAGGTACGGTTTTCATTTTTTTGCACGTGTATTCTTTGTGAAAAGGCCTTTCTTAGGGTACCAATATTTTTGACCCCTTGACCTTGGAGTTTGACCCACTTTTGCGAAATTTTATTAAACCTTAATCTAATTCATGACTTTTGAACAGTTGGTGCTAGTGCTTTCAACTTCACCTTGATAAGACCTTTCCTTTGGTACAAATATTTTTTACCTTTTGACGTTGACCTTGGAGTTTGACGGGACCCAGTTTGACCTACTTTTGAAAAACTGGAAATCACACCAAGTCACGACAGATAATGCAGAGAATTTCAACAGGGAACACAATGAGTCCCTTCATACTCAGCAAAAGATACTTGCTGCAGATATTACCAAGGCAAAGATGTACAATCTTCATGTTGAGAAGTGTACTGTAAATGGCATGGTATCCGCGAAGTCTCTCGTTTGAGACCGGTAGAAGAAATTTCAATCGGAGAGGGTGGGTGGTTGCACAACCAAACATTTTTAGTTGGGGGGGGGGGGGGGACTACCTAGCAAAAATTCCTTGACTAGAAGAAAAGGTAGTCAGACGTTATTATTGTGATAGAGCAAACTTTGTACACTTCTTAACTTTGTTTTCTATGGTATACTATTTATCAGCAAAATTTATTGGGGGCACGACCCCCCCCCTCCCCCGTTACCCCCTACCCCCTCCGGTTCCTACGTCCATGTGTTTATCTATAGATGTCTTTGATACAGAGTTCAACATAGGATTTCATGTTCTTAGCATGGACGAATCAGGACTTTTCCTGGGGAGGGGATAGGTCCATGTTTTCTCAAAAATAATCCGATTCGGAAATTTTATTGAGCAAAAACAAACAAACAAAAACAATCTAACAAACAAACAAACACCCCAGAAAAAATGGACACTCTTTCCTATGTGAAGGGTAGATCCAATGTCATATATTACTTTATGAATACATATTAAATAACTCAGAAAATCACGGGGGCGGGGGAGGGGGTTCCAAGAGTATCCATGCATACTTAAGTAGGATAGATGCCACAAAGTTCAGGCAGACGCAAACAGTAACACTGCAAGAAAGGTTTTATGGTCTGAAACACGGGAACACACACACAGAGAGAGAGAGAGAGAGAGAGAATGAAGAGCTCTTAATTAGCAGAATGTTATCACATGTCCTAGTTCCATGTCGCTAGCCTTGAAGCGTTTTATGTCGCCAAATTCTACTATGAAATAGATCGTTCAGGAGAATTGTACACCCGGACACTCATTCCTACAGGATGTGGACTGTACAGGAATGAGTCCGTCTAATTCACAGTCATCTAGAGAAGGACCTTCGAATATCCGAATTCTCCTAACCCTTCCTTTTTTCTGACATTATAGTATTTGCTTTTCTTTTTCTGAGAAGAGCCTTTTGCCGTTCATTTTCACTGATACTAAAGCCCCCACTCCCCATTCCCTAATATTTACCGGCTGTAGTATGGTGGAATCCTCTCCCGTTTTTGTACCGAAAACAAAATAGTCTGCTGTCTGTGAGGTTTCATCAGAAGTAAAGAACCATGCTCGAATGTAAATCTGTCCATATCAAAGAACGTAACAATTAAGGTCCCCAGAAATGAAAGCAGATTTCAAATCAATCTTAAGATTTATGCCAATTTTTATTATTTTTTTTAAATTTTGTTATTATTATTAAATTATTACTATTATTATTATTTTTTAATAATTTTTTTTTTATATTTTGGCCGTTGAAAAAGAAAATAAAAACTTCGGATTTTCCACAGTAAAAAGACTACAATAGTTAAAAATATTATGAAATCATATTTCACGTTTTTGCTATTTCATTTTTGTTTATTTTTGTATTATTCAATTGTTTAAGTGTTATTAGATATTGTTTGTTGAGGGGGGGGACCACTCTGAATCACTTCTTGTGTTAATGAAACATTTTCAGGTAAATTGGTCACGATTTTCTAATGAGAGAGAGATAGAGAGGTATACTACGCATCTGAGAATTATTGATCCACACCTCCTTTTTCAACTTGAACCAAGCGCCCCAAAGACCTAGATCAAAGAGTGCACTGAGCGGCCAGGTCAAAAATGAATTTCTCTATTTTCTTTGCAACTCCTATTGTTCCTCTATGGCCTCAGAACGAAGCAAACAATCAGTTTATTTACTATATTTGCGGAGGAATTGTCCTGATATACTTTTTGGTGTTGTTTATTGCGTCCATATCAAGGAGAAATGAGGTAATTTTTTTCTTAGGCCTAGACCAAATCTTTAAATAACAAATCTTTCAACAGACGAACAGTACTTATTTTTTGTTTTACTTGTCATTCTTGTCAAGATATTGTTTATTTAGTGCCTTTCTAGCAAAAAAATATTTGAAGGGTTTAATAAAGCACAGGTGTGATTTTCAGGAATTTTAATTCTTTCAATTTGGTTGAAGGCACAGTAAACAACATATATATGGTACTTTTTAAGTATTGTAAATTCTGGTAATCTGCAGGCATGCATTGTGGTTATTCCTCCAAATGAAACATACCATGATGAACACCTGCTACATAAATACCTGCTGGAAATAAAAACCTCACTTAGACTTGGTAAGAAAAATATTTAAATTAGAAAGTACCAAAGACTACATATTCTCTTCCCAAAAAGCATGAATAAAAGGTAAGGTATTATTGTCCATCAACAAAAACTTAGCACTAGCTGGGTCACAGAGTTTCAACTTTCAAGATTGTATCATTTAGTTTTGTGTATATGAACATTGAAGTAATTCTTTGAAGGATAAAGAACCATTAAAACATTTTTCTTTTAAACTGATTGTTTTGTTCCGTTTTGTTTTTTTTGTTTGTTTTGTTTTGTTTTGTTTTTTTTTTCTGGAAAGGGGGTGGGAAAAAAAGACTACCAAAATTTTAATTGAAATACTTGTAGATTTCTTTCTAAATAAAAATCATTGTTTTTTTTTCTAGGAAGTAGTTGTCATGCTTTGGCAAGAGTTTACATTCAGTTGGTTGGCAAAAAGAGTTCAAGTCCATATTATCCTGTTGATGCATTTTATTCCGGAAGATTTCTTTTTCAAAGAGGTTGCAATGATATATTCCTTTTAAAAGTATCAGGTATGTATTCTATATGTAATAGCTGCAGAACTGTAGTGTTATACTATAGTTTCATATTTCAGTCTTTGAGCATAAGGGTCCAAGACTAAAATATAAAACCATAATGCTATATCTCCGTAGCTAGTATTCTAATAGTCCTAATTATTGATTTAATCAATTGGTTGTGCTGTATCCCCCAAGGGTTGTCCATAAAACCCAGGGGCCAGGGAATGTTCCTGCCTATTATGATATAATCTCCCTGATATTCCTCAAAGTTTTACATAGAAATATATAGGAAAAATCTTTAAAAATCTTCTTCTCAAGAACAGCAAAGCCATGATGAGTCATATTCATATGGAAGCATCCTCAGGTAGTGTAGATTCAAGTTTTTTCAAATCATAACCCCCGGGGGTAGGGCGGGGCCACAATGGAGGATCAAAGTTTTACATAGAAATATATAGGAAAAATTTTAAAAATCTTCTTCTCAAAAACAGCAAAGCCCTTATTGATTATATTTAAGTGGAAGCATCCTCAGGTAGTGTAGATTCAAGTTTGTTCAAATCATGATCCCCGGGGGTTTGGCAGGGCCACAATGGAGGATCAAATTTTTACATAGAAATATAAAGGAAATATGTTTAAAAATCTTCTTCTCAGGAACAGCAAAGCCCTTATTGATTATATTTATGTGGAAGCATCTTCAGGTAGTGTAGATTCAATTTTGTTCAAATGATAACCCCCGGGGGTAGGCTGGGGCCCAATGGGGGATCGAAAGTTTTACATAAGAACATAGGAGGATCCACAATTGGGGATCAAATTTTTACAAAGGAACATATGGCAAAATTTTTTTTAAAATCTTCTCAAGCACAAGAAAGCCATTTGTTATATTGATATGGAAGCATCATCAGATGGTTTAAAATCCCCCCCCCCTCCCCCCCCCCCCCCCCCCCCCCCCGGTAATCTTTTCAATACTGAAATGATTTGTGCATTTGCCTGCCCAATTTGCTCAGGTGAGCGATGTGGCCCATGGGCCTCTTGTTTAATATCCTCTTCTATTTCGATTCTTATGGACAACCCTGCAGCCCCTTTAAGGACATTGGCAAGGTTCCTGGTTATAGTATAGAATTTTTCAAGAACTCTTGAGTAGGTTTAATTGTACTAAACAAGCTTTATTCTGGATTGTTTAACCTACCAAGCCAACCTTCTTTTTTAGATTTTGTCAAATCAGTGTTTTTGCAATTCTCAATGCATTTCCTATGTAAAATGTTGATAAAAGGGAGCTACATAATTTTTCACCATAATATTTTTCAAAAACCCACTTATTTCATATGGTTTTTGTATTATATACATTATTGTATCTTCATTTCCTATGACTTCTAGATATTTTGGCTGAAAACGTATATATAGAAACAGGACAAGAACATACCGGCACCGATCTTAATTTTTGAGTTACTTCCCTTAACAGCTATAATTACATACTATTCATAATGGTCAAGAGAGTCAGACTCGTTGATTGATTCTATCATGTAATTGACTGAATTGATTGAAACACATTGTCATAAAAATATTGGCATGGATTTATTTCAAATTTTATTCGTAGTTACTAAATGCTGCTTCCTTCATACAACCTGAGAACTGATCTCAGTCGGTCTACCTTTCAGCGTATGTCACATCTTTGCCCTTCCCAGCATACTGAGCATAACTATGGTAAATGACAACCTGTTGGATCTTGGTCCCCTGAATACAATTCACAACAAAGCCATTACTAATTTTCTTTCTTGCTGTATAGATGATTCTACCCGTTGAAGGAAGTACATGTGCTTTTGTTTACCTCTGTAAACATATGCTTTATTGGTTTTCACCGCTTAGAGAATTCTACACGGGAGATCACTCTCAATCACTATTTCATAAGTGAAAAAACCCATGTATTAAACCTTTTTTCTCCGGAAAACCTTGACTTGCCAATGTCCTTAATTTCAATTGGAAAATTTATTAATAATGGGAATAAATACAACAATCAATTATTTATTTTTATCCTTATAAGTTATAAGAGTATAAAATTTATGCTTTTTTTAATAGTTTAAAAGAAGAGTAGAAATAATATAAAAATATTTGTGGAATAAATTAGAGAAAAACTTTTAAAAAGTTATTTTTTGTAAATCAGACTACATGTATTACTATTAATATCTTTGAATACAAAACACTGCTTTTTGCAGTTGAACATAATGTTTCTACCTGCGGTATTTAAAATTGAAAATAACAAATACTGAATATATTTATTTGATTTTACAGATGATCTTGGAGAAATGGATGTTGTTAACTTCATAATTGTAAAGAATAAAAAAAGTAATTGGTAAGATATCTATATCACAGACATGATGTTACACTCCATACATTACACTGCATGTGAAATATTTATTAAATAAACTTTTTATCTCCTTTTGAAGAGTTCCAATTTATATATTTTTACATATTTTTTACAAATTCAGGTCTTTTTAGAAAACTTTCATACAGTAGATTTCAAAGCTCTACTGCAAGTTCAAAGTCTGATAATTGGTTTTTAAGAAAATGTAACTCTCAATGACTTTCATACAATGAAAAGTGTACCCAGAGGTGTCCTCATTGAAAACACTCAAGCTATTAACAAATTTTAGATTGTTTTGGGGTTAACCAGCAATGTCTTGACTGTGACTTCTTATCCAAAAGGTCAATTAGAAAAAAAAATCAAGCCTTTGAGTATTGGTTTGGCTGTTAGGCCATTATTTTCATATTGAATTGTCTATGGATTTCTCCATTTACCCAATCATGACAAAGGGCACAAGGGGCGACAGGATGCTTTCACCTCCATGGCACCTGATCCCACCTCTGATGTTTCAGAGGTCCGTATTTGCTCTGCTCACAATTTGTATTGTTGAATTGGACTTTTAAACATGTCAGATTGCTGTTCATTATTGTCCCATTTCATTTCAGTGGTTAGGAGTGCCTATATTACTAACTTGTTCAATACTTTGACATACCCATTATTGGCAATACAGGTATTGCTAGTTTGCCACAACAGTTACAATTCATGCATGATCCTTTAATATTGTAATTCTTCTATTTAAAATATTAGTATGATATCCTCAGGGTAAATAAATAAGTTTTCATCTACACTGGGACAGACAATGATAAAAACTTTCTTTACAGGAATCCTGTTGATGTGACAGTGATGCATGTAGCAAGTGGAAAGAGATGGAAAGTCCATCACAGCATTATAGATATAGACCAGGGCATTTCATGTGATGCTGGAAAAGAAAACCAAAGTACTGGATTGAATCAAAGGTAGACTGGTTCGATAATGTTTAACCTGATTATAAAAGATATATTAAAGGTAGCATAATTTCTCAGCATACAAGTAGCCAACCACTGTACTACAGTAATGTCTATGCACTGTTATTTTTCTCTGTAGAAAATTAAAATCAATTTTTTTTATCATCAGAACTGTTGGTCAGTATTGGCAGTTGCTGCTGATGTACCACATGTGGCTCTCTCCTTCAACAACTCCCATTAGATATGGTGCCTACACCACCAGGATCCATGTCCTTTTTGTATGTTGGGTCCTTTCTGTTCTGACGTTAACGACTCTAGTGTTTTTTATTGTAACTCCCCAGAAAAAAGACAACAACATACTTTTAGCCATTGGCTATGCCTGTCTTGTAACAGTGTATGCAACTCCAATCTTGGGTTTTATGAAGCTAATTCTGCATCTTGTCAGATCTGGGTCCAAAGAAAAGATTAGTGAATACAAAAAATCACTACAAGAAAAATGGAGAGAAGACAAAATAGTGTTGAATATAAATATTCCAGAAGATAGGCAGGCTGTGTGCCAAGATAGCACTGTGTTTCATAGTATTTTGACAGTGAATGAATCTCGGTATAGGTCTTTCTCAGATCAGTTTCACAGTATCTTGACAGCAAATGAATCAAAGCATAGGTCATTCTCAGATAAGTTTCACTCCATTGTGTCCGTAGGTAATGTTGTTGAGACAAGCCAAACAAACTTTCCAGATTTTCACAGTGTTTTGACTGTTACTGAATCGCAGGATAAAGCTTTTTCAAATAAGCTCCCATCAGATGTATCTGTGAGAAAACCTTTGCCTTTACTTCGTAAATCTGAGGACCGTAGTTTTCAGTCTATTAAATCAGACAGAGATGATGAAACAAGCAGTACAAGGGTTTATCACTTGTCAAGGTCTTCTCTTCAAATACCCAGTACTGAAGAAAATAGTCAGATGAAGACATCTTCACCTCAAAAGCCTGGAACTGAGGAAAAAAGCTTGATAAAGACATCTTCACTGCTAAAGCCAATTACTGAGGAAGAGGGTTTGATAAAGTCTTCTTCACTTCAAAAGCCTGGAACTGAGGAAGAAACCTTAGTGAAGATCTCTTCCATTCATCACGAAAATTCACAAAAAATCTCCATGACCTCTTCCATACCTCAGAGCAAAATCAAGTTGGAAAAACCCAAGTCTGAGTCTGTGGAGCTTATAATACCTTCACCAGAGATGACTGCCAGACAAGTAGCACAGAATATTGTGACATTTGTGAGAAGAGTTTTTCATGAAGCTGTGGGTGATACTTTAAGGAAGAGATACAGTGAGACCATTGAGTGTGTGCAAAAATCCCTGGAGATGTTGTACATTGCCTTGAAGGAAGAATTGTTACCTCGTCTTGAGTCTGGAATGAAAAATTCAAAAGGTGATTGGAAACATCAATAGAGAATTTAGAGTCAAATCTGCATCATTTGTAAGAAAACGATATGACTTCTCAGCATCATAATATGGTTATCATATGAAATCTTGAAATAAATTCTGAAACAAGTTCTTTTAATAGGTGAAGAAGTTTTTCTTGATGAAGATCAACAGAGAAGTATCATTTTAAGCATGATGAAACATGTTAAAGAGAGAGTGGCTGTGCATTCTAACCTCTCAACTGGAATGGTTTTAATGATTTGTGAAGAACTTCTTAGTTATTCAGGTATGTGTCTTTTTAAAGTAGTTATCATTTAAAAGTAGTTATTCCGAGTGAAAATGGAATAGTTATGATGAACTGCTCAATGTATTTCTTTTTAAGTTACTGAATTACTAAAAAAAACTACAATGAAACAAACCGAGGAAACTTTAAGCATCTACAACTAACTGGTTGAATAATGGTTATCTTGTTTAAAATATACATTTATTAAAGGGATGTGGGAATTTGACAAAGAACATAAAGTTATGTCCAGCAAATTTCATGAAAATCCAGGTATGTATTTAACTTGGTTCATTTATATTGATTGTTTCTATGATCCTTTCAACTGGTACTGTTTTGTTCTTTAATGAAATTTGATACTTTATATTGAAGTTGAAAATTTGGAGAAGCTTATGGAGTCCTTCATCTTCAAGGTAATTCAGTCAGCTTGTGAGACAATTTATCAAACACCTGTGTGCCTGCATACCAGTCAATATCTGTCTAGACCTTATTCCCTGAAAAGTGCTATTCGGAATGTTATAGAAGGAGACATTGCCAGGGATCATGCAGTCTACAGTCTGTGTTGTGACATCACTGAAGAAGCAGAACAGGAAGTGACATCAGAACATCAAGTTCCTGAAAACGTTTACCTGGAATTCTGTATAAAACAAGCAATACTGAGAAAATTAAAAAAGATATGTAACAGTGGGTTATTGTTACCTGATGATGAAACAAATCTAGCAGAAATCAGGTCCAGACTGTACAGAAAGTGGCACAGGGAGGGATTACAATCGGAGATGACTTTCAGTGCACTACTTGCAGAAGTTCTCCTTTTGAAGTATGCAGAAAGTTTGGACCAGGAGGGAGTCCTGAAGTTGTGTGACATTCTACAAAATGAAACAGATTTCCAGTATATGCAGCAGATGATTAGGAGGATACTGATTATAGAAGTAGACAAGAGTTTAGATTTAACTGAATCTTTCTTTGTTTCCTCTCATGAATGCCAGCAAGATTTTGAAAGTGAAATTGAAATTAAGGTAATTAATTAAAACAGCAAATCTATATATATATACATACTCCTATAGTGCCATTTCCTTTCATATATAGTTTTCTCATACCACTATTAATTTCTTAACTGTCACCATATATGAATTGTTCTATTAATTAATTAATTGATTAGATGAACAGGACATTTGAGTCTTTGAGGAAATCTCAAGAGACTTTGACCCATAGAGTGATCTATGAAGAGCTTCTACAACACAGGGGAAGCTACCTTGTGTCCAACATGCTTCAGGAATTAGAGCATGAAGAAATGTTGAAACAAGCCATACAGGTATTTCTTTTCCATAAAGACAAAGAAGCTGGATAATTTGTTTTTCTGAAAGAAATTGCAGGGTACTGTACACCAATTATTAACAAGTTGAAGGGCAACAATCTTTTATTAGCGATTTATCAGTTTGAAATCAATCTGCGACGATTAATTTTCATGACTGAGGAAGCAGCGATTAATATTCGCAAGTTAAAGTAGGTCGCAAAACTTGCGAATATTTTTCGCATGCAAATAAAAGTTGGTTTACATTATTTGATAGAAAATGAAATGACAGAAATTGAAAAGTAAAATATTTTTTGTAGGACAGTGTTTTCATAACTGTTGACAGAGATGAGACAGATATGAAACTTACCGATATAAAAGAACTGAAGAAAGGTAATGTGACTTAAAAGTACTGGTTCTGATCATTGATATACATTGCTTATACTGATATAGCTACTCACTGAATCTGTAGAAAACATTTATTTCATTTAAAATTAATTAAATACTGTTAATCATTTTGATTTCATGATGCTAAAATTTTGTGATGTGTTACAAAGACACCACTCATAGTATGATCTGATTGAACCTTACCTCACCATGAGTTAAATTTCAAGAAAATTGATAAATTGTAAACATAGTGAAATTAAAACCATTATGTTAATTTCCTAGTCTATAGTATTAAGAGTCAGTGCTTCCATTTTAGATCTGATTCCACTTCAACGTTTCCTGACTTTTTTGGAAAGTAGAAAGAAACACAGAGAACTGTCTTCATCTTTCTTCCATACATGTTGGAAATTTCACAAGCATTTCATCACAGAAGCTTACCAAACTCTGACCGAAGCTGCTTTGATGCTAACCGAGGATTCTGTCGACAAGACACTAACACCCAAAATTTTGTACGAACTTGAATGGGATATGACCAGAGAGAACCGCAAACCACTTGCAGGTTACTGGATGTCACTCTTTGCGATATTTCTGTTCTCCACGACTCTGTTTAACCTGGTTTATGTGGCGATGACTGGTGCACAACTGACGGTGGATCAGATCACTCAATGGTCTGCATGTTTCCTTGTGTCGGTGCTTCTATATGGACTGATTATAGACTCATGTATTTCCATCTTCCTGATGAACTGAACAATTAAATGTAGAAGCGGTTAATGAAGAAGTTAAAGAAATTTAATAATTTTATCTTTGTAGTTACCCCATAGCCACAGAATTGGGTTGTATTTTTTTTATTGCATGAGTGTTGTTCTATTTGGCATGAAAATTACTTTGTTATCAAATATATTCTTGCAATTTTCTTTTTAGTCTCATGAATCACTCATGTGACCTATTGCTCTCTGTTTTCGTCCATTGGCAGTCGTCCATTAACATTTGAACATTTTCAACTTCTTCTCTGGAGTGACATGGCCAATTTCAACCAATTTTGGTATATAGCATCTATGGGCAAAGGGAAACAAAAGTTATGAATTTCATGGTCTCTGTCTACTCCCCTTCCACAGACCTGAGGGTGGGACCAAAAACATCAAAATTAATGCAATCTTCAAAAAAATCTTCATTACTCCTAGACATCAAGCAGTCTAGTGAAAAAAGCATTCTTTAGAAATCTTCCCTCCCACTGGAAAGTAAGTGCAGAGTTATGAGAAGTAAGAGTGGCTTTTTGAAGGTTTTGAAATACATGGGCCCAGGGTCAGGGGTTCTGGTGTTGGGGCGGGCTCTATTGATCATGCGTGGTGAAAATATATAAATTCTTTGAAAATCTTCTCTCCTCCTGGGTATTAATAGGCAAACTAAGTACATGGTTATGATCATAGTCATGAGGTCACTGGATAACTTCACAAGTAGAGGTGCAAAATTATTTCCATCACCACAGTGACCACCCTGTTTGTCAATTTCAGCATTGACATTTTTGCAAATGCCTGTTCATTGTACAGGTATATGTACATGCTTGATTTTATGATGATTTTCTATCACTCAAGTCTTACATGTGCAGCTTCATTTTTCTTAGCAATAATTTTTAAAACAGAAAATGTGGAAATTCCAAAATAGGGAAATTTGGCCTTAAAACCATAGAGTGTAATTCAGGGGTCAAAATTCATAAAATTTACAGGTTAATCTGGAAAGTAGGCAGGTCTACAGGTAAATAGTTTTACTTTTTGAGTTGTTGCCAGAACGAATATTTTGTTGATATCTGATCCTATTTTTTTTTTTTAGCAAATTATCTTCAGTTAAATGAAGTAAACTTTAATGACCTTTAGAGGAAATGGATAAAAATAATGACAGTGCAAGAAAGAAAAAAAGCATAGGATTAATCGAAGATTACAAAGCTCACCTTGACAAATGTAAATGACAAATGACAAATTTCACATCAAATTTTTTCGTAGTTAGTGTGCATCCCAAGATCAATATCCATGCAAGTTTGGTAAAAGTAAGACTTATTGTTACTTGGGAATGGACCAGCTCCAAAAAATTTAACCTGTTCACTCATCCAGAAAATGTAGGTCAGTTTAAACATCCAAAGCAAGTCTGGTAGTGTCCATCCCTAGTTGCATCATCCATGCAAGTTCAATCATAACAGGCCATATAGTTATAGAGCTAATTTAAAAACATTACCCTGGTCATTTAATCTGGAAAATGTAAGTCAGATCCAGCATCTGAAGCAAGTCTGATAGTGTGCATCCCTAGATGCATCATCCATGTTAGTTTTGTTCAGGTACATTAATATTCACTCATCTGGAAAGTACAGGTCAGATCCAGCATCTGAAGCAGTTTGATTGGTAGTGAACATCTCTGGATGCATCATCCATGCAAGTTTGGTCCAGGTAGGGCTTATATTTCCTTGGGAAAGGACCTGCTCTAAAAACTTTAACCTTTGCACTCATCTGGAAAATGTAGGTCAGATCCAGCATCCTAAGCAGGTTGGATAGTGTCCATCCCTATTTGAATCATCCATGCACATTTGGTCCTGGTAATTCATTGGGAATGGACCTGCTCTAAAAACTAAAACCTGGTCACTCATCTGGAAAATGTAGGTCAGTTCCAGCATCCAAAGTAGATTGGATAGTGTCCATCCCTAGATGCACATCCATGCAAGTTTAGTCCAGGTAGGGCTTACAGTTCCATGGGAGAAGATTGCTCCAAAAACTTTAACCTGTTCACTTAGCTGGAAAATGATGGTCAGATCCAGCATCTGAAAGAAGTCTGGTAGCATCCATCCCTAGATGCATCATTCATATGCAAGTGAAGTGGATGGGGATAGGGATGGGGATGCCAATGCTGAGGGTAGCATAAGCTCATCTCAACTTCAGCTGAATGTTACTTTTTCCCATACTTTCTTCAAGACTGTCTCATGTAATGAAGTTACACATCTGTGATAATGTGAATGACAAGCAACTATTTTGAAGGAAATCAAAAATCCTAAGAAATCTAAATAGTACAATATCTTGATGAAAAGTGTCTGAGTCAAAGATCTGTTAAAAATTGTGTGTAAATTTTGTAATGTCTGTCATGAAATGACGTGCATTCCCTTTCATAATTATTTGTTAATTATTCATAATGGTTGGTGTATAATAATAATGTTTCCCTAAAATATTATCTTTTTAAATAAAAAAAAATACATTTTTTGATAAATATTCACATTGTAAATCTGAACGTAACCCCAAAACAGTAATTTAATAATTAAATCCTGTGTAAGTGCAAAAAGGTCAACAAAAGAAGTATGGATAAATAGAGTGTTCTCATTCGTTTGTGGGGAAAGGTATATATTTTAATCACTTCTTGTAATTATTTGGGTATGTTCTTCATCATATATAAGATTGAAAACATTCTGACAAAGACTTTGAAAAATATTTACAAATTTAGGTGTAAATTGACTCAAAAAATATTGAGCACATTTGCCTATATTCGTTGAAATGTGGACTTAATTTTTTATGTCAATTGAATAAAAAAGAATTTATTCTTGAATAATATTGCTAAATATGGTTCAGTTAATAAAGTCTATAAACGACGATGTTTGAAGAAGTATTTTAGTGATTTATTATATTCTCTTTATGACCAGTACCCCTAAAAATGGCTGAAAATATGTAGTCACAGTGTAAAATTATCTTTCCAAGTTGCACAGACTGCACTACATTTAATAACAAAGAAACATACCATATATTTTTAACTGATTGATAAGCGAGAGCTAATTTATCATTTTGGAAAGTTTGAAAATCTTGTGACAAAGACTTTTCCGGCATAGGTACTACCTTAAAATATAGAATGTCTCTAATGGTATGAAAAATATGGGTTATCTACTAGTCATGGGCAACCACATAATTAAGGACATACACAACGTAGTTTGAACTATATTTGTCTTTTTCCCTGGAGTTGAAGAGTTCCGATAATTAAAGGAACTGTGTGCTACATTTTAAAGTCTATATATGCTGTTGTACACTTCTTTTAAAACAAGTTTGGATAAACAAAACATCTAGATTATATGTTTAGTAATTTTTGTATATTTTTCTTTGAATTATACAAGAATTTTCATCAATTGATATCTTTTCAAAACCCCTGGTAATGCATGCTGATTTTGTGTCTATGAACATCTGATGACACTGTAATCCTAACTTAAGAATATCTTGAAAAATTATCAGTAGGTAAGGTACGTTGCGTATGTCCTTAAGTTTGATCTCTGTCAGACCTAAATTTCCCTAGCCGTCATCTTCTTTTTTGAGGCTTCCAGTGTACCACGTTTAATGTCTGCCAAGCTAATCGTTCTCAAGATACTGAGTGTGCAATATTTATCTATATTTACAGTAGTTTGACCTTTGATTTTGTCACCTCAAAATCAATGGGGGTCATCTACTTCATAGGGTGTACCAGTGTACAAAGTTTGATGTCTGTCAAGTAAAGGCTTCTCAAGATATTCAACAGACAGTAATTTGCTGTCCAGAGTAGTTTGACCCTTGACCTTATGACCTCAAAATTAAAGGGTCATCTACTCCTTATGGGTTACCAGTGTTCTAAGTTTGATGTCTGTCAAGCAAAGGGTTCTAAATATATTATAAATAAGTGGACAATATCTTCCTGTGTCTTAAAAAATTTGACCCTTGATTTTTAGCTCTACTGGTCAGAGACCAGAAGAGCTTATGTGATAGTAAGGTGTCCGTCTGTCTGTCTGTCCGTCTGTCTGTCTGTAAACAATTTTTCAAAATGCTACTCCTCCTACAGTTTTGGTCTGATTTCAATATAACTTGGCACACAAGTAGACTACACTAAAATACATAATTTAGTGCATCGGTTTTTGATTTTGATGAACGATGTTGCCATGGTTACTAAAAATAGAAATTTCTTTGACATGCCTTTAAAATGCTACTCCTCCTACAGTTTTGGTTGGATTACAATATAACTTGGCACACAAGTAGACTACACTAAGATACATAATTTAGTGCATCGGTTTTTGATTTCAATGAAAGGTGTTGCCATGGTTACTAAAAGTAGAAATTTCTGTGAAATACCTTTAAAACGCTACTCCTCCTACAGTTTTGGTCTGATTTCAAAATAACTTGGCACACAAGTAGACTGGACTATCATACATAATTTAGTGCATCGGTTTTTGATTTCGATGAACAGTGTTGCCATGGTTACTAAAAATGGAAAGTTCTGTGAAATTCCTTAAAAACACTTCTCCTCCTACAGTTTTGGTCTGATTTTAATATACCTTGGCATACAAGTAGACTACACACACTAAGATACATAATTTAGTGCATCAATTTTTGATTTCGATGAACGATGTTGCTATGGTTACTAAAAATAGAAATTTCTGTGAAATTACTTTAAAACGCTACTCCTGCTACAGTTTTAGTCTGCTTTTAATATAATTTGGCATACCAGAAGACTATACCGAGATACATAATTTAATGCATCAGTTTTTGATTTCGATGAACAGTGTTGCCATAGTTACTAAAAAAAGAAATTTCTGTGAAATCCCTTTAAAACATTACTCCTCTTACAGTTTTGGTCTGATTTCAATCTAATTTGGCACACAATTAGAATACTGTAAAAGTGGTTATTTACACTGGTTGTTAAGTACGCGTTTGTGACTGTCAAACATTATGCGTGTTATGGGTGTTATATACGCGGTTGCACGAGTTACCGAGAAAAAATTAAGTGCCTATCGTAACTAACATCGAATTGTTCCCCTTTGAAAAGATCAAGTAGTTTACATTTTTTACATGCATTAATAAGAAAAAAATGAATTAAAAATGTAGTTACAATTAAGACAAAACAAAAAAATTATACTGGTCATCGATATGTGCATGTTCCTTGGATTGTTAAATATAACAGCGATCTGCACAGTCAAAACTGTGAAGTGTGAACAACTGGTGTACGCTTTATTGTCATTATTTACACAAGCTCAAACTTCAAAGTAAGATCTACTTATCTGTATCTGCGTGGCAAGTGTTGACAATAAATTCAATAGATATGTTTGTAGTGACTGTGAGTTTCTGTAACATTTTGGACTAATTATTTGAAATTAAGAAATTAAAGGAAAAGAAAATGAGTATCGATGTTTCGAAGCTCTAATTGCGTGACATTGCTTTAAAATACTTAATATGAAGATTCATTATTCATTGCAAAATTTAGAATAAAAACATTTACGTTTTCCTCAATGTTTGTGATGTAATTATCTACTCACGTGCGTTCAATACCACGATTAATATACGACTGGTTTGACCGGTCTAACAGTATTAGTAATAGTCTAGAATGATTCCAGAACTTTGAATTTTTGTGACTATACGCGCGGGGGTATTTTACGCAGTTCTAGGCTTTCCGCGTAAGTAGTGTAAATTTCCCCCACGCGTAAATAACCACTTTTACAGTACACTACGATACATAATATGCATTTTGGTTTTTGATGTGGTTACTAAAAATAGAAATTTCTGTGAAATACTTTCAAATCAAAACGCTACTCCTCCTACAGTTTTCGTTTGATTTCAATATAACTTGGCACAGAAGTAGACTACATTAAGATACATAATTCTATTTATTAATGCATGTTGCAAATCCAAGTGCTACTTTGTTATAGGTACAGACCAGTAGAGCTACAGTCTCATCAGAGACTTCTGGTTTACCTTGTGACCTCAAAATGTATATGGATCATCTACTCCTCAGAGGGTGCCAGTGTACCATTTTTGATGTCAGTCAAGCAAATGGTTGTCATACGCTAATCAGACAAAACTTGATCTACCAACCCTCTGACTGACATACCAGTAAGTGCAAACCAATAAGCTCCCTTTTTTCAAAGGGGGGCATAGTAAAAAGTAATCAAATGAACCAACATAAGAATCATTTATTCAGAAGCCCCTTTTCACAATTCTTTTTAGCTCTCTGTTTGTAAGCCTTTAAGCTTTTCCCTCCATCATATGTTGTCCTTATTTTTTGGTACATGAAATTGAAAAAAAATAAAAGATTGTCATATTCTCCATCATAGATATTATCTACAAAGAGGTCATGGTAGTCCCGCACCAAATAATACACAGCCTCAATAGTGGATAAATATGTAGCCGGATTGTCCTTCTGGTGCCTCCAGAATTTAGTTTCTCTTGATTTCAACTGTACACAGGTCAGGTCTGAAATCACATCAAAATTTGCCGACAATATTTTTAATTCACCTTTTAAACTTTTGCCCAAACTGAATCATAATGCTTTATTTTCATTCATCAAATATATTTGATTTGCATTACTGTTAAACATCTGGACTCTATGTGAATTGCTGTATTGGGAATCTTACTATTAAGCATAAAAAATTGAAAAGCCACCATAGTCACTTGCATAATGGAACTTTAAAAGAAATACCTTTGAGTCTGTCGTCAGCAATTATCCCTTTAGTTTGCTTCCAAGTACTATCAATAAAGATGGCTCTTTCAAAAGGAGGTGCCCTTTTAAAAGTTCTCTGTTTCTTTTGAGATCCTTGATCCTCCTCCACCTTTCTTTTCAATGGGGACATGTCTGCATTTTCATCAAGTTTAGACTCATCTGAGTTGTTTCCCTTGCCTTCATCAGATAAGTCTCCTGGCTTGGAGTTGTTTCCCTTCATGTTGTAAGTTGAAGTGTCATTTTGGTCCTTCACTAATGACCTCGAGAAAGAATCTTTACCACTACCACTGATAGTGTCCACATTTTGTTTGGTATCACATGTGCTTAATGTGTTTGCCATTTCTTCCAAAGTTAGTGATTTTTTTCCAGGAAACACTAATACAACCTTCAAGAAAAAGAAAATAATTAAAGCATGGACATTAAAAATAATAGTTGTTTAAACTTTTTTGATATATTCAGTATCAACCTACTGACAGTATCAAATGTCATACATGTACATTGTAAAGTTATATGAAGAAGTCGGTGTGAAATTATCTGGAAATATCTCACCTTACTCTGGTCCGGATACTCTGGAATACATGGATAAGTATACACATGGACATCATCTGGAGCTAGGACTGCAGCATGTGCTGATGTACTCTTACCATCACATTCATTGGGATGCTTGATGATGTCGATCTTTAAAGGCAGCTACAATGAGAAAGTAAGTAAGGGTTACCTCTGAAGCAAGAAAACCCCTCTTTTGTGGTGTTTTAGCATGTTTAGTATAATATGCTTCATTATTCAAGGCTTTCACTGGTATCTGTCTTTTTTTACTCAGAAAGAAGAAATATGAGTATTGTTTATCTATCAAGTTTGCTCTAGTCAAAGGCAAGTGAAATTTTATTCACCAGCTTCATATTGAATTAAAACATTTACAGTGTATAAAAGTAAGTGAAAAACCCTTAGTGAACAATGCTGATCTGAGATCAGGGTTTGACATTAACTTTACAATCAAAATAGTCCACAGGACTAGTGGTTTTAAAAATAAGTAGTCCTGCTGATTTTCCACTACACCAGGACAAAATTTACTAGGCTCTGGCTACCAAACTAGCATTAGTGTCGAACTCTGGAGATAAAACCAGACACAAAAAACATTCTAAAGTTTTCCTTTATATAAGGACCCTTATTGCAGTTAGTTAATTAACATAATTAAGGTTAACAGGCAAAAATCAATTGAAAATGGTCATATTGTAAAACTTTAGACTCTACCCCCTCCTCACTCTGGGGATTATGCTCTCTACACAAAACACAAAAACTGCACCACAGTCAGGTGCTCTACAAGCTAACCAGGCTGATTTCCATGACCCAAACCATTACATTCCTCCCTCCTTCAATTGTCTTCACCCTCAAAGACATAACCCACATTCTTATTGCCCCTGGCGTCCTGAAAATCCAGGGGTGGTCAAAGGCACCGAATTATGTAACAGGAAAGGAGAATATGTATGGCTGGGCCGGGAATCAAACCTGGTACCCATGCATCACTAGTCAGGTGCTCTACAAACTTAGCTATCCAGGCCAATTTTCACAGCCCAAACCATAACATTCCTCCCTCCTTAAATGGTCTTTGCCCTCAAAGACACAACCCAAGTTCTTATTGCTCCTGGCAGGACTTTCATCTTCAAGTCTAGGGGTGGTCAACAGCACCAAATTATGTAACACGAAAAGAAAAAATGTATGGCTGGACCTGAAATCAAACCTGGATCCCCTGCATCACCAGTTAGGTGCTCTACCAACAATCCAGGCCAATATCCAAAGCCCAAACCATTCATTGGTGAACATGAACCAGTAGTATTAGTAAAAAAAATCTAGAAACTCACTGCGAGCAATGAGAGGTCTTCCGTCCGATTTTGAAAATAAAAATGTAAATTCAAGCTGAAAAAGTGAAAAAAATTCAGACACTCTGGAGATTTAACCCTGGTCTTCGGCGTGAAAATCCAATGCACTAACCATTGCGGCATTTCAACTCCCACTTCAAAGTGAAAATGACGAATATCAAGAGTTTGGATTTATCAATTCGAAAACAAATTATATATTTAGTATTTTGAAAAGAGTTTTTTTTATATAGTGCAAAATTATAGAATGAGAGCTAGCTAGCCAAATTTTTTGCAAGCAGATTCACATCGGAATTCGTTTCTTGAGTTTAAACAATAACAAATAATCTATTAATGATGAACTGATGATACTGTTTACTTCATTTATTCTTTGTGTATTCAACTTTTTATTCCATGCAATTCCATGTACCTGTATTTCATACAAACGTGTCCGTGTAATCTTTTTCGGCACTTCTGCATTAGACCATTTTTCTGCTATGAAAGAAGATTCACGATACAGTACATAACGATAAATCATCGCGCCTTTTCTTTGAAATTAGCTGCAATAATGTAGCCCTCTCCCTTTTTTTTTTTTGTTTTTTTGGGAGAGGGCTACAACTCCTTAGGATCTCCGTAATGGTGCAAGTGCGGGAGTGATTCACTCCCGCACGGATTTCGGCTTAAATTATCAGTAAATGGCTATTCAATTAACATTTCTTACTTGAACTCCAAAAATGTAGTTATGCAAAACATAAATCAATCCAAACATACACAGAACAATCCATATATCGGTTATTTTTCGTGTATGTCAACATCACAACTTAAATTTATCCGCCATGTTTACTGACCTTGATCGATTTTATTTTGGGACAGCCAATGAGACTAGGGATCTCGAGGGAGCGGATCTCCGTAGGAATTACCTTATTTTAGGCATAAATATCGCTGTTTACGAAAAAATGTCACATGGAATAGTTTTATTTATCAATATTTAGTGATGCCATACAGCACAATCATTTAGTAACCCCGAAAATCTACTTTACAAAGTAATTCATAATTTTCAAGCGCAAGTCTCAGTGCATCACGCGAGAACTGTCATGGCTTCTGATGACAGCGACTGATAAAAAAGCAGATTTATTTTATCTGGTTTTCGCGTTTAACGGACTATGTTGTTGACAGTGAATAAAAATTTCAACTTTTTAGAAGTAAGTTGATTGTAAAAACAATTTATTTTGCCTGCAGTCGCCCGTATTTCAAAAATATATTTGCACCATTACAGAGATGCTGTGGCATTGTAGCCCTCTCCAGAAAATATCAGATAAAAAAAAATCGGAGAGGGCTACATTATTGCAGCTACTTTGAAATGTATGTTCTATTGAATGGTCTCCATTTTCATATATATTATTGTATGTACCGTACAAATTACTCATTTTATTCCATTTGGAGGTCAGAGTATTTATGTTTTCAAAGAAAGATTATCCATTTCATAATCTGAAAGATCCAACAATTCCTTCATATTTCATTGATCCTTATGGTAGTTTCGTTCAACAAGACGCTCGGCTGTCTCTGTAAACTCCAACCTGCCAATTGGCAATCCTCGACTGACTCCGCTATGCTCCATACAAACCTCGGAAGTGATTGGTGGTGAAATATGCATCAAATCGATTACATTTCTCCGCTGGAAACTGCCTTGTAACTCATTTCATATTTTACTCTGCATAAAGTTCTTCAAACATTTTTTTTCTCTTGTCTAATTCTTCCTTGGATATTGGTTTTGATCACAATATCATGTAAGTAGTCTTTGAAAGCAAAACATAGTGTTGGGCATGCTTCAAAGTAACTCTGACTTCAAAGGTATAACATTTGGAGGAATTTCAAATAAGACCACATGACTGTATCAGCAACATGGTAGAATACCATTGACGTCCGAGGTTAGTGTGCGAGGAACGAACCACCCGAGGAGCTCCGAGTGCCGACCTGCTCGTCGGAGTTAACAAAGACAGCCGCCATTTTGGACCCACTTCAAATTTCAAAATGCGAATATCTAGAGTTTAGATTTATCAATTTGAAAACAAATTATATATTAAGCATTTTCAGAAGAGCCTCTATTAACACTACTTCTATCAAAGAAAAATATAGAAAATCAAAAAAGTTAAAAAAATCAACTTTTTAAATTCGCGTCTGGTAACGACTGGAATTAATGACGACAAACGAAAAGTCACGTCCCGACTAGTATTTATCATGATCTATAATCCCTGAAAGTTTCGCATTGATATCTTTTACCGTTCTTGAGATTATCCGTGGACAAAATGTCATTTAAATTCAAAGAATGGTCCGTAACTTGGCACTGGAAAAGAATTAAAGAAAAAAACTGAATTTCCAAAAATTAAAATAACTTCAGATTACAACACATTGTTCCTGCAAATTTCATTAAAATCCATCCAGCAGTCTGTGAGAAATCGCGTGCACAAAATTAGATGGTCAGAAAAATAATAATAATAACTAGATGAGATCTCGTTGCGAGCAACGAGTGGGTCTTCCGTCCGATTTTTGATAAGATGAGATAAGAATTTGACTGGGATTTTCGTTCAAATATAATGATATAAATAAATTGTTAAGACGAACAATTTTGCTTTAATAATGTTTAACAAAATATTGATCATTTAAGGGTTTTAGATTAAAGACTTTCGGCCCTTCTTGGCTCCTAATGTGAGAGGTCAGCCCCTTTTTCTTGATATCATCTTAAAGCTCTCTTGATTTTGAACACTTTTTGTTCAACAACTATTCAGAAATTCTTTTTTGTTTTCGGAATATATGCAAAAGCAAGTCCTAAATGGGGACGTCTAGCAAAAATTCAAAGAGTGCATATTGTTCAGAATATTATTTTGAACGTCTTTTGTTCAATATTGTTTATCAAAATATTCTTCCTTTTCAAGACATATTGCGCCAAAGATTATGCAATTTGGCCCCCTAAAGACCCCTTACTGCGTAATATATGATATCAACATCATGTTATTTAGATAAAGTTTGTGAAGAAGAACTATTTCGCTTCAGTAATATATTACAAAATATTGATCATTAAAGAGTTATTGATTGTATACTTTCGGCGCCTCTCGGCCCCTTATTTAAGGGGTCAGACCCTTTTCCTTGATATCACCTTAAAGCTCTCATGATTTTTTACATTTTTTGTTCAACAACTAGTCTGAAATTCTTTTTCGTTTCTGAGATATTCGCAAAAGAAGTATTTAGGGGCCGGCCCTTCAACTCCTTAATGGGGACGTTTAGCAAAAAATGAAAGGTTGCATCTTGTTTAGAACATTATTTTGGACATCTTTTGTTCAATATTGCTTATCAAAATATTTCCCACTTTTGAGATATAAAGCGTCAAAGATTTAGCATTCTGGCCCCTTATGGCCCCTAATCATGTAACATATGATGTGAATATCACAATATATAGTCGTACATTGTTGAGATAAACATTTTTGCTTCAGTAATGCATTACAAAATATTGATCGTTAAAGAGTTATTGTTCAAAGACTTTCGGCCCCTCTCAGCCCCTATTGTGAGGGTCCAGCCCCTTTTTCTTCATATCACTTTAAATCTCTCATGATTTTGAACACTTTTTGTTCAACAACTAGTCAGAAATTCTTTTTTCATTTCTGAGATATTTGGAAAATAAGTATTTAGGGGCCGGCCCTTCAACTCCTTAATGGGAACGTTTAGCAAAAAATGAAAGGTTGCATCTTATTAAGAACATTATTTTGGACATCTTTTGTTCAATATTGCTTATCAAAATATTTCCCACTTTTGAGATATGAAGCGTCAAAGATTTAGCATTCTGGCCCCTTATGGCCCCTTATCATGTAACATATGATGTGAATATCACAATATATAGTCGTACATTGTTGAGATAAACGTTTTTGCTTCAGTAATGCATTACAAAATATTGATCGTTAAAGAGTTATTGTTCAAAGACTTTCGGCCCCTCTCAGCCCCTATTGTGAGGGTCCAGCCCCTTTTTCTTCATATTACTTTAAAGCTCTCATGATTTTGAACACTTTTTGTTCAACAACTAGTCAGAAATTCTTTTTCATTTCTGAGATATTTGGAAAATAAATATTTAGGGGCCGGCCCTTCAACTCCTTAATGGGGACGTTTAGCAAAAAATGAAAGGTTGCATCTTATTTAGAACATTATTTTGGACATCTTTTGTTCAATATTGCTTATCAAAATATTTCCCACTTTTGAGATATAAAGCGTCAAAGATTTAGCATTCTGGCCCCTTATGGCCCCTAATCATGTAACATATGATGTGAATATCACAATATATAGTCGTACATTGTTGAGATAAACATTTTTGCTTCAGTAATGCATTACAAAATATTGATCGTTAAAGAGTTATTGTTCAAAGACTTTCGGCCCCTCTAAGCCCCTATCGTGAGGGTCCAGCCCCTTTTTCTTCATATCACTTTAAAGCTCTCATGATTTTGAACACTTTTTGTTCAACAACTAGTCAGAAATTCTTTTTCATTTCTGAGATATTTGGAAAATAAATATTTAGGGGCCGGCCCTTCAACTCCTTAATGGGGACGTTTAGCAAAAAATGAAAGGTTGCATCTTGTTTAGAACATTATTTTGGACATCTTTTGTTCAATATTGCTTATCAAAATATTTCCCACTTTTGAGATATGAAGCGTCAAAGATTTAGCATTCTGGCCCCTTATGGCCCCTAATCATGTAACATATGATGTGAATATCATAATATATAGTTGTAAATTGTTGAGATAAACATTTTTGCTTCAGTAATGCATAACAAAATATTGATCTTTAAAGAGTTATAGATTAAAGACTTTTGGCCCTTCTCAGCCCCTAATGTGATGAGTCAGCCCTTTTTCTTTGATATTGTATAAAAGATCTTGTAATTCTACACAATTTCTGTTCAATATGGTTTAACAAAATACTCATAGTTAAAAAGTTATCGTAAGAAATGTCTCTAAAATTCACTCATGATTCGCTTCCTAAATTTTGACCCCTACCGAGCTTCCATACTAGGCACTTCCGGAAGATTTGAAAACCCAGGTGATCAATGGCAACATGTCCTCTATCAACGCTGAAAATTTCAGCACTCTAGCTTTAACCGTTTTTGTGTTCCATTGCAGACAAGGAGGTCCTCTGAATTTTGATTAAAGGGCGATAACTTCCGACCGGAAGTGAATTTCAAAAAAATGAAAAAAACGTATAAGGTTCAGACAAAGATACATCTTCCCTGAAATTTTCAGGTAAATCGATCGAGCCAACTCCGAGAAATCTTCTGCACAAAAATTGTAAAGAAAAAAAAAGAATAATAATAATAATAATAAAAGTGAAAAAGAAACAATAGAATAATAGAAGGGTCTTCCGTTGGAGACGGAAGACCCTAATAAAAGTGAAAAAGAAACAATAGAATAATAGAAGGGTCTTCCGTTGGAGACGGAAGACCCTAATAAGAAACAGTAGAATCACTATAAGGTCTTCCGTTAAAACACTAAACTTTGAGCTCAGTTAGATCATCATTATGTGGCAGTAAGATTGGTTTGATCGCTGGTGGCCTGAAAGCTCAGTTGATAGAGCACCTGACTGGAGATTCAGGGGGCCCAGGTTCGAATCCTGGTCTGGTCCATAGCATTATTCTCCTTTCCTGTTACATCTGGTGCTGTGACAGGTGAAAGACCTGACAGGGAAGAGCCTAGGTTGATGTCATCTAACCTTCAAGGGAGGAATGTGGTGGTCAGATGGGTTTGATCCCTGGTGGCCAGATAGCTCAGTTAGTAGAGCACCTGACTAGAGATGCAGGGGGCCCGGGTTCGAATCCCATTCTGGTCTGTCACATTTTTTCCCCTCTCTTGTTACAATTATAATATATGCTGGTATGTGGGGTATGTGGTTTCTGCCTTACCTTTACCTTTGGGATACGATCTTCTGTACCTTTAACTGGCACAAAACAGTTGTAGCAGTAAAATTTTCTGGATTTTAAACATTTTGGGCATATGCTTCGATCTTGCAATGAGTTCAGAAATTCTGAGGATGAAATTTTCAAACTCTGAAATGGATTTTCTTCCATCTGAAATGAGGAAAATTTACATGTGCAATTATTTGATAAAGCACAGTCATTCAAAACACATATATTTGCCTCTTTTGTTATCATACAATGTAATGAAAACCAACAATTGAATATTATGCCATTCTATCTCTCTCAACTCGTTGCTCCCTGAAGGGCAAGACTCTTTTAGAGTAAATTCGAACTGTTCCGGATACTGATAATTACTTTTTTGGTCTTTGTTTTACACAGAAATTATGTTAATCATTATCAAAAGAATAAAACAAGCCCCCCAAAACTGAAAAATTATTTTATCATCATATGTCACCCAATATTTGAATCAATTTGTCGAATATTGCACTTACAACCGAGTCACAACTGAAACCGTCCACACTTTGACAAATAATGTTGTGTGTGCGTTCGATATATCTTAAAACAGAACAGGACATTAGGAAGAGAGGGAGAAAAAAAGAAGAAAGATCTTTGTTAGAGAATTTCATACTCTTTATATGTTTATTAACTTTAAAACTTAAGAAATGTGTGATATTATTATAATTATATCAAGATGTATAATCTATTCATAGTCTATTGATGATTACATAGAATGTAACGCACCTTTGTTTATTTCACGGCGGCGATTACAAAGAAGGCGCACGATTGATGTTTAATTTACTGAGCTCCTCTGTTGATATCGGATACTTACTTACTCCGTAAGATTAACCAAGAGAATTGTAAGTATGTGTCAGGGTTATACTATGCTTAACAAGATTATTTAACTCAATTTAAACACAACAACTTAGATGGGTGGGGCACAGGCGTGCGCCAGTTTTAGCCGGTGAAAAACAGAAATACAACTTTTTTTAAAGAAGTTTCTCTTTCAGTGCGAAGCATTGCTAAGTTGCTCATCCATAATATGTATTCAAACTGACAAATATTCCGATAGGCATGATTAGTGACAAGCAGATCTTACCTCACCTATTGACATGCATACCCACTGGCACCGAGAGAGCCACATACCCAGTGACAAGTACTCACACAGACAGGCCACATATCCAGAAACGAGTACTGAATGAAAAAGTACTCAACCAGACAGACGAACCCAGTGACAAGAACTCAGTCTCATGGTGACAAACGTACTCACCAAGTGACAAGTAGATCTACTCACCCAGACAGGTCTACCCAGGGACAAGTACTCATAGTGATAAATACATGCAAAGACAGATAATCCCTATGACATCATCCAGACAAGTGTACCCAGTAACAGGTACTCATCGAGACAGGTAAACACAATGACAAGTACTCGTAGTGATAAATTCTCACCAAAAGAGGCAAACCCACCCAGTGATACATATTCATCCAGACAGGCACACCAAGTGACAAGTACTGATAGGTAAACCTAGAGAAAAGTACTCACCTAGACAGGTATAAAAACTAGTGAAAAGTGCTCACCCAGACAGGTAAACAAAATGACAAGTACTCACAGTGATAAATACTCACAAAGACAGGTAAAACCTGTGACATTTACCCATCATGAAGTGACAAATACTCACCCAGACAAACCTACCAAATGACTCTGACAGGTAAACCTAGTGTAAAGTGCCCACCTGGACAGAAAAAATAAATAACAAGTACTTACCAAGATAAAAAAAACATTGACAAGTACCCATCCATATAGGTAAACCAAGTGACAAGAACTCACCCAGATAGGTAAATCCAATGACAAGTACACACCCAAACTGATAAACCCAATGACAAGTACTCAACGGTCTAGTAAACCCAATGACAAGTACTCACCCAGACAGGTAAACCCAGTGACAAGTACTTAACAAGACAGTTAAACCCAGTGACAAGTACTCACCCAGACAGTTAAACCCATTGACAAGTACTCACCCAGAGAGGTAAACCAAGTGACAAGTACTCACCCAGACAGGTAAACCCAGTGACAAGTACTCACCAAGGCAAACAAACCAAGAGACAAGTACTCACCCAGACAGATTAACCCAGTGACAAGTACTCACCCAGACAGGTAAACCTGGTGACAAGTACTCACCCAGACAGATAAACCCAGAGACAAGTACTCACCCAGACAGGTAAACCCAGTGACAAGTACTCACCCAGACAGGTAAACCCAGAGACAAGTACTCACCCAGACAGGTAAACCCAGTGACAAGTACTCACCCAGACAGGTAAACCCAGTGACAAGTACTCACTCAGACAGGTAAACCCAGTGACAAGTACTCACCCAGACAGGTAAACCCAGTGAGAAGTACTTACTCAGACAGATAAACCCAGTGACAAGTACTCACCCAGACAGGTAAACTCAGAGACAAGTACTCACCCAGACAGATAAACCCAGTGACAAGTACTCACCCAGACAGATAAACCCAGAGACAAGTACTCACCCAGACAGGTAAACCCAGTGACAAGTACTCACCCAGACAGGTAAACCCAGTGACAAGTACTCACCCAGACAGGTAAACCCAGTGACAAGTACTCACCCAGACAGGTAAACCCAGTGACAAGTACTCACTCAGACAGATAAACTCAGTGACAAGTACTCACCCAGACAGGTAAACCCAGAGACAAGTACTCACCCAGACAGGTAAACCCAGAGACAAGTACTCACCCAGATAGATAAACCCAGTGACAAGTACTCTCCCAGACAGGTAAACCCAGTGACAAGTACTCACCCAGACAGATAAACCCAGTGACAAGTATTCACCCAGACATGTAAACCCGGTGACAAGTACTCACCCAGACAGGTAAACCCAGTGACAAGTACTCACCCAGACAGGTAAACCCAGTGACACCCCAGAGAGCTTAACTCGGTGACAAGTACTCACCCAGACAAATATATGCAACAGTTAGGCTATCCATGTGACAAGCAGTCTCCCAGACATTCAGGTTTATAATCAATTTTTTTTTGGTTGTTGCTAAAACAGCTACCTGTCTGACAATTTCTTACATTTTAATCAGTTTTCATGAAATTTGTTTTTGTTTTGTGCTGATATAGCAAAATCAAGCTTTATTATAGACAGAAAAATCTTTATAGGAAATAAAGCTAGATTCAGTGTTTTTTCAGAATCTGGTACTTAGATCTCCTCAGAATACCTAGTTAAAGTAAAATTCAACCATCTCCAGCTTCCTTGGTAGCCATATTAAAACTTAATAGATATGAGAAGAAAAGGTAGATGTCAACATTGAAACAATCTAACTGAGTTGAAGTGTTATCCTATCAGTTATTTTCAGTATGATAACAATATAGCCGTTTTGTCATTCCAAAGGCAAGAAATGTTGCCCAAGGGCTTTAGCCAAAGGGTGAGGGTTCTTTCCAAAGAGCTTCCAGAATGAATATTGCCCAAAGCATGCAAAGTGAACATTTTATTATCAGTACTGTTTTAATGTAGTAACAGACACTGCAGTGTAGTAATCCATATTTATGTCTTAATACATCAAGCTCAAAATCTCACAAGTTTTTCATTAACCTAACTTGACCATGCGTAACTATTGTAGACACCATGGGAAAAGAGAAACATGGGGTTAGAAAATGATAAATTATGTACGCAATATAGAAACTATAAGCTCGGAGAGCTTTAACCAGGGAGAAACTTAATTGATTTTTTTTTCATTTGCTTAAAAGAATCATTTTACCAGACAACTGTTTCAATCAGAGTTCTCTAAGTCAGTGAAAACTGTCTAATCCAACACCTGTGTAATCCATTTTACTGTGAATTCCCACCCTTATTTAAATTTTCTGTGTTCTTTACACTGTACAGTCCAACACCCTGTCTTTTCCAACATAAAATTTGTCTCCCATTGCATATCAGATTAGATGGGTTTCACCATATTTTCATCCTATAATATACATATGTGATAAATATGTAATATGGTGTTCTTCAGGCCAATATGCACACAGTGAAACATATATGGAGATCATAAATCTGACTTAACAGAGTCATTTTTATCCCCAGGAAGTTCAAAGTTATGAAAAATGTACAAGATATATTGAAGTATTGATATACAAAATATTTTGGCTAAAAATTATACCATTTCCTTTAAACAATGATTTACTGCACATACATGTAAAGACTTTTACTTTTATCAGTCAACATGAATGATGTGTTAGTATAATGCAGTTAACGTTATCATGGTAATTGTGGAATTTAATTGATAGTGTATAATATATTACATTATTTTAATAATACACAAGTTTATTCATCATATTAATCTTTATATCATTTGATTTAGTAATTAATTTACTGTTTTGGAATTATAAGTCATATACTCTGTTCATCTAATGAATTTTAAAAAAAAAAAATTAGAAAAAAAAATAAGTGAGCTATTTTTGTAGCATTTTATGTCACATTAATGACATTAAATTCTCAGATCTACCTTTCAAATTTCAGCCTGATTTCATACAAATCTTTAGATATATATAATTAAACCCTGCAGATAACATCTGTAATATTTTGAACTTGGAATGTGTGATAATAACCAAGCTGACTGTATCAGAAGAGCTCATGGGGGGAGATTTCCTGTTAGTAATGTGGAGTGCCAAACTGATTCCTAGACATTATCTCAAACTTTTAAACAGGCAGAAGATACATTTCAGTAATAGACTTACAGAAAAAGGGCAAAGCAAAGCCAAAGATATGTCATTTGATGATGTTATACCTGTCGACAGATACGGAATGAAGGTGTCCGCACAATTACTATGAACAGTTTTCTGGTGTAGGCTTTCTGTCCAGTCATGGTTTGGGTGTACCGAAGCTGCCCTTATATTACAGGAAAAATATACAGTGTATAGTATACTGTATGTAACATGAAGAAAAAATTTACTGTTTATCACATTGATCAAGATGCTTGACATTCTCTCATCATTTATAATGCCCCCCCCCCCTTTCATTTCCATCAAGAATAGCTACTGTATGTACATCAGCTGATACATGTAGCATACAAACCGGGAAGAAAAAAAGACATCAGTTACTGAAAATGTCACAATTTTTTTGTCATAGTTAATATCAACTGATTTTTAGGAAATAGAGAGTTGACCTTCTAAAAGAAAATAACCTTGGAGAAATTGAGGACTGTGTCTAACTATCTATTTTATTTTGACTGCATGATGGACTTCTTCATATCTTTTTATTGTGGTTAATGCATTGGAACACTGTAAACAGTAAAACATAATGTTGCGTTCAAATTATGTCATCGGAGTATTGTGCAAAACGGCCATAAAAATAAATCATGCATAGGAGATGCCTTATGAAGGAAGGTTATTATCTGCAGGTGAATGTCTTAACAATAACTACCTAGACTGAAGTATTGATTATTATGTTCTAGTTGTTAATATCTGATGAATTTTAAGGTGAATGCTGCATAAATATTGAAAGATGTGTCATTTTTT